GTCTTTTGTCTTTTGTCTTTTGTCTTTTGTCTTTTGTCTCTAGTCTCTAGTCCTCTGCATAGAAGGTGAGCTTTTGGTTTTTTTGGTCTGAGTTTAGTTGTTAGTTTTGGATTTCTCCCCATTGGATTTTTGGTTATCTTCCTAAATAAAGGATTTTACTATTTCAACCGCTCCTGCCTGTGTGTTCTGGATTTTCTGCACCTTGGGTCCAAACCTCATTCTCTCAGCGTGACACTGTAGATGAAAAATGACCCTTTCTGGACGTTAAGGATGATGATGATGATGATTGATGACGATGATGTCATGATATATCATAGTCACATTCAATTAAACTTTGTCTAAGAATGACTAAATCAACTTTTAAGTGCAAAAGGCATCTTAGTTTGCATTTTAGAGTGCATCAAGACCCCACCTTGGTGCTACATGACCCACAGAGTGGTCCCAACTGCAACTTTAAGTTCTGAGCAGCCTGCGATGGACTGGCAACCTGTCCAGGGTGTACCCTGCCTGATTGCCTGTTGACTGCTGGAGATAGAAACCAGACCCCCCACCCCCGCGACCCTGCGTGGACTAGTGGGTTCAGAAGATGGATGGATGGATGGATCTGAGCAGCAGTCACACTTTGGATTCACTGTATGGAAAAAGTCTTTCTGGAACCATTTCTATTCATTCACATTTTGTTTTATTTATCAAAATCACATGACCTGCAGAAAACTCTTTTGATAAAAAAATAGTGCTGTGTCCCCGAGACAAAAACACTTGTGTGATGCTGCACTCAGAGACCTTGTTAACCCCGTTTGTTGTTGCGAGGTCGTCCATGAGAGTCCACTAATGAGTGAGGAGACAATGGGACAGTAAGTCTGCCTGTATGAGAAGACAGTGTCCTCAGTGTGTGGAGCAGGGAGACCCAGCTCCGAGTTTTACTGCAGGATAGACACTTCATCTGTTCACACACAGCTCATTAACCTCATCTCTGCATCAACCCAGCTGCATTCTCACACGTCACTCTGATAAATCTCTGCTTTTTCATGTTGGGAAGAGGTGGTCTCTTCTCATTCTCCCACTTCAGCCTTTACATACAACTATAATTATATCTACCGCTGGATATAGGCACCAGCTCCCCCCGTGACCCTACTTGGACAAGCGGGTTCAGAAAATGCATGGATGGAGGGATAATTATATCTGGCAAAGCACTCTCATCAGACTTTTAAAGAAATTTTACGTTTCTAAAGTTCCAAAAATACAGGTGAATGCAAAAAGTTACAATATCATACAAAAGTCTGTTTATTTCAGTAATTAAACTTAAAAGGTGAAATTAATGTATGAGATATACTTGATTCCATGCAATGACAAATAGTTCAGCCTTTCTTTGTTATAATTGTGATGATTATGGCTGCCATTATTTATTTCAAACCTTAAATTACACCAGATTAGTATTTGTTGATTTTAATTATGTTAATCTATTCACACATCACTATATTATCATTAATTAATGGTCAAAACAATTTTGCTTCACATAACTGTTTAATATTTTTACATCACACTAAGAAATAATCTGAGGTATTTCGGTAATGCCTTTAAACTTGTCAAATTCTGATTTGTCTAAATTTGTAAACAGTAGCTAATATAGGCTAGCTCACTTCCTGGACTAGTCAGTTCTTCGCCAGCTTCTTCAGTTAGGCTGACCGGGTGAGCCAAGCACTTGAGTCCATCCTCTCTTTTGACCTCAAGGTCAAAGCTACTCTGCAGCACTTGTGAGTTTATCAGATGCAAAATAGATATGCCAGCTTCCTGCTGTCACCTAGAAGGTATCTCAGAGAAGACGGGTCTTACTCAGAGCTGAACTACGGGTTCTGGCACTCAGAGGGCCACGCTACCGGCAGTTTGTCCATACCGACCTCTTGAACCCCTGGATTGCACTAGGGATTTCAACACAAAGAGTTTGCAGATCTGCACACTGGTGTGGGATGGTTTCATGAATAATTGATAGCTTGTTGAACCATACAGTCAGATTGATTTTACAACCCAGACATCACAAGATCTCTCAGATACTTAATAAGGTTTTGCTACAAAAACATCACGCTTTCATTCCAACATTTCATTCAGTGTCTGTTATCGTGCACAAACACTATTCATCATAATTTGTTCTGTGTTCTCATTTGTTCAGAAATATAGAAAATAAATTCATTTTTATAAACTATATCATTGACTCTGAAATTAATTAGTATGAAGTGTGTTTCCCTGAATAGTCCAAAGAACCTAAGGTAAATATTCAAAGACCAATCAGATTGATAATTCATATTTAAATGGAATGTCACATCGTATTGATTATTTAATAATATGTAGCTAAATCCATCACGCTACAATAATAATGATGACGATGACAATGAAGATGATGGGGATGATGATGATGATGTGGGTGTTTTTAAATCAGTTAATTAGTTTTATTTGGTTGAACAAAAACTTACAACGGTGGATTATATCATCAATGTCCACTGGCCTGTAGAGTTTGTGATAAATTAATCATAACTGTTGATAGTGCTCTGGTCTAGTTCATTATTAGCTGTGAGAGGTTTGTTAAAAGGTGAGTAATTACAGACTAGAGAAAAAACTAAAACTTTTAATGCCTTCACTTTTACTGTATTTTCAGTAAACTGATTGTGTTTACATCAGGGGTATTCAACTGTGGTCCTGGAGGGCCGGTATCCAGCACATTTTAATGGTTTCTATTCTCCAACACACTTGTTTTAGTAGGTGAATCACCCTTGCAGCAGCTCATCAGGCTCTGCAGAAGCCTGTTAATTACCTGCTGATTGGAATCAGGTGTGTTGAAGCAGAGGTAAAACTTTCTGGAAGCCAGCCCTCCATACCCAAAACTGAATACCCCTGGTTTATAGAATAGAATAGAATAGAATAGAACAGAACAGAATAGAATGGACTTTATTGATCCCACAGTGAGGAAATTCACTTGTTACAGCAGCATCAGCACTTAAGGGAATTGTTTGAAGAAAAAAAAAACAAAGGTACATGTATATGCACATAGGCAGTAGGCTAGAATTGTAACCTTTGACCACTAAAAACCACGAATAAAGTACACCCAGGTGCTTAAAGGTATCCAAAACCTCAATGTCTGCTTCCTGGATGTCTGCTGGTGAGTGAGGAGGAGTGTTTCTCTGTAACTCAATCACCACTTCCTTTGTCTTACTGGTGTTCAAATGAAGGTGTTTATGCTCACACCATTCCACAAAGTCCATGATAACTGACCTGTACTCCTGGTCATTCCCCTCAGACACGCAGCCAACAATGGCCGTGCCTATTCAATTCAATTCAAGTTTATTTATAAAGCGCCAAATCACGACAAGAGTCGTCTCAAGGCACTTCACACAGCTGTGCAGCCTCACGTACTGTGGCCTGTTGGTGAGGTAGTTGATGGCCCATGCAGTCAGATGTTCGTCCACTCCTGCACCGCTCATCATCCACCCCCATGTTTGGTTTATATGCAAATAGCGTTTGGTCTATTTCCGGGGTCACTACTGAACGTAGATGGGTGAGGATGAGTCTCTCCATAGTTTTCATCAAATGGGAGATCAAGGCAACAGGTCTGTAGTGATCTGGTTTTCCGGGATGTGATGTTTTGGGAACTGGAACCACACAGGAGGTCTTCCACAGGATGTGGACATGCTCCAGATGGAGGCTCAGGTTGAACATGTGTGTGACCACTTCACAAAGCTGGTCAGCACAGTCTTTGAGCATTCTGGGGCTGATCCTGTCAGGACCTGCAGCTTTTCTGCTTTTAAGCCACCTCAGTCCTCTCCTCACCTGGTCAGATGTAACTGAGAGGGGGGAGTGAGGGAGAGTGTGGAGCTGAGGGGGGGTTAGTGGAGGGGGGAGGTTACATAATTGTTGTTGCACAAACATAGCTGCTTGCAGCTTCAGCAGATATATTCATATTGCTGTTTGCAGTTTCACCAGGTACGATTACAACTATTTATCATTTATTGCGTCAAGAGACTTGCCACATGGTGGATTTAGCAGCTGTGTGACACACAAACTGTGATCTGTGAAGGTCAGGAAACCTGAAGACATCTAGTGGACAGATAAAGAGATGCAGGAGAAAATGAACTAAACTGTAATTATGACTGATCACATCATCAGAGTGTGTTTTATATGTCCTGATCAACAAAAGTGCCACAACCATTATTCCCATCCATGATAAGGTGAAATAATAGATTTTCATCACATCACATTTAATGAAGATAAACCTAAATAACTGAAATTAGTTAGTCCCAGAGGGTCGTTCAAAACAGAATAGCACCTGTTAACATGTCTAAAACAATTCATTTCACATTCAACAAGCAGTAAATATACTGCAAAAATGTACAGTTTAATAAACATTTAAGAGGTTAATTAATTGTTAGTGTAATTAATGATGGTACCTACAGAGGCCAGTCTGTGCGCTGCTGTGCAGTCATGGGTGGGTAATCTATCGTCTGGGACACAAAACAAGAGGTCACCACTGAGGACAACTTCAAACAATGTGCAGAGGAATGTCTAACATAAAAGTAAGAGTACGGATTTTGTTCCAGGGGGTCATTTCGCTCCCATAACAGGCTACAGGAGTCTCAGGATGAAAATAATATATTAATTTTATTGTCACATTCAGTCTGAATGGGACATACTTTACTTGTTCATCTTTTGTTTTACCTTCCTTTTTGTTGTTTATGTTTTATTCCATGAAATCAGAAACCAAATTTAAGAAGAAAACAGAAACAATGCACAAATGAAGTGAGTATATAGACATTTTTAAATATTTCACTTTTCTAAATCAACAAAACGTACAAAGAAACTTTGTTAAAGGAAGAAACTTAACAAAATACAGGTGAGAAAACACTGATTTGGCTTTGATGATCATCAAAACCATCTCCTCTCCTCCTCTGCAGCAGATAGTTGTCATTTGGTAGATTAGCCATTTATAATCCAGTGTGTGAAGTCTAATCCTACTTTGAGTGACGTTTCCAGTTCTTCCCTCCCCTCCTGCGGTTCTCTTTGCCACGTTTGTTTCCTCCACCGCTCCGTGTGTCTCTCCCATCCCGTCTGCTGAAGGTAAGGCTGATCAGCTCTTTGATTAAAACTAACTCAGAACAGATAAAGGGACATTGGACACATTTAAGGATTAGGCATCAAGACATCTGGGTGCACTCACAATAACAAATAAAACTTTGATTTGTTATATTTTTTATCTTCATTCACTTAAGATTTGTTCTGTTTTTAACATATTTCTATATTCATTATGTTGATGACTAAATGTGCTGATTACATATAAAAATACAAAAATGAACTGTTACATTTATGAATTTAACTGTCAGCACAGACAATCTTATTAAATGCAAACTTCTAATCCTTTTGATGTTAAATAATCTAATATTTCACAATAAAATAGATTTAATCAACGGTTTTTAATTAAGCAGAGACTCTTTATAAGAGCATTATTTATTTATTTTAGAAAATAAAGGTAAAATATTTCAGTGACTACAATAATTTCTGCCTGTAAGCACGAGAAAAGAGATAAAAGATTTGTAGCGTTTTTGAGTGGGGGAAAGGAGATTTTTCCACATGGAAATAAAATTTTCACTAAGATTTAAATTTTCTTCAACTGAAATACAATTTATTATCATTTTTTGTTCTGAAATGAGTTGTTTTCTCCAAGTTCCTAGATGTTAACGAATCAATGAATCAACGGATCCTTGATAGTTTTAACAAAACATCCATTTTTTAATCAAATCTGTAGACAGCCTTTGGTTTCTGAGGTGTTGATGTTCTGTTTCTGTGCAGGCTATCTGCTGCGAGAGGCTGCAACCATGGCTGCTGTAAGTTCAAACCCTTCTGTGAAGTTATCCTTGTTTCTGGTTGAGTCAGAGTCTGGCCACGGCTCAGTGGTTAAATAACAGGAAACTGTCAGCGCATGACGCTGCTTAGTGCTGTTTTTGTGCCAGTAGCTGCTGGCTCTGAGATGGACCCTCCTACTGACGCCTTTTCTGCAGTCATGTGAAGCAGATTATCCAGATGTTGTCCTCAGAGGGGTTGTGCTTTCTCAGCTTTATCTCTGGTTTGATGTTCAAATGAAAATATGCATAAAAAATGAGCCCACCTTTCCTCCGTCTGCAGACTGGAACTTTCCGTATGGTTTCAGAGGAGGAGCAGGCCATGAGGTCAAAGCTGGAGCACCTGACAGTGAAGGATCATGGGCCGGTGTTTGGGCCATGTCACAAACTGCCTGGTCACACTATCCAAAAGGTAAAACACCTTAAAGAAATGATCAGAATACTCATAAATTGTTAGATCCTGCCGACACGAGCTCAATTCTTAAAGCATTTAATGTGTCATGCAGGCGAAAGATGAGCTGAATGAGACAGATGAGAAACGGGCGTCCTCGCTGAAGGACCTCCGTGCCATGATCAAAGAGAAGGTAGCAGCAGGAGACGACATGGCCAAACTGGTGCAGGAACGTTTTGGGCACAAACCAGACTCTTTGCTGCTCCGTTTCCTCAGAGCACGAAAGTTTGACGTTACCAGAGCTCATGAGCTCATGAAAGGTGAGTGAGTGACAGAGACAGCAATGACATGTGAAATGGTTTGTACTGTTTAGAGGACAACTGAGTCCCTGAAGCTTCCATGTGCTTTGGTTCGGTTTCTGCAGACGTGTTCTGATAGGTTCAGTAATTAAGGATGAGCTCTCTTTTGTTTCCTGGTTGTGCACATCCTGTCTCTCTCTCTCTGAGACAGTCAGGCATGTGCTCATTAATTGGGGGCTTAGAGAAACTGCAGAATTCCCACTGACAAAGCCCTTCTTTGTGTCCAAATTGGACAACAGGTTTATTTTACTAGTAGAAGCTCTGTTGAGCTAGGAACCTGAGCTGATGGAGTCGGTCTGAGAGATGATTGGCTTGATTTCTCTCCAGTGATTCTCAACCAGGGGTACACGTACCCCTAGTGGTCCATGAGCGCATTACAGGGGGTTCGCGACAGCACCCGCCCTGGTTAAAAACATAAAACATTGAGCTGGGATGTGTTATGCTTAGTGAGTGCTCAAATAAAGTGATGGACGATAATTCAGGGTTCATATATTATCAATTATCAATTTAGACCGTAAGCTGCATCAGCTGTGGACTGGAGGCTGCTGCAGCAGTGTGGATGCAGGAGTACTTGTAAAGAAGATAGGGTAACGTCAATTACTGATGCTGAACAGAGGAACATCCTCTGTAAATAATTCTGTCGACAATAAAGTCGTATCTGTGTTAATAACTCGTCAACACAAATTCCCTTAAATGTCATCCAGTTTTTTTGACACATGATGAACTCACATTCTAAACCTTTGATTTAGTTTGGACAAATCTCCATCTGCAGCTGTTTCTCTCATTAAAAACACTCACGCTATTACTGCAGCTTCTCTCTCTCCTCATCTCTTCATGCAGCTGAGGTGCACCGAGGGTCTGACCTCTAATAATAACTTTTATGTTGCATTGTTTGAAGAATGAATCATAACAACATAAAAACTTCTTGAAAGGTTTTTTATTTTATAAAATAGGTTTTGAACGTTAAATGTTTTTTAAATTACATTCAGTCCTGGATTAAGAAAGACTACATGAGGGAAAAATCAGAGCAGGGCTGCAGCTGCTACTGAGAGAGGGCATGAAACCTCATTCACACCTAATGCAGAATGGATACAATCCAGTTTATCAAGGATCAGAAATCATGGGGTCCAATCAGAGCATTTACAACAGCTGTGGTGCGAATCCATCTGCAGAGCTCCAGAAAGTTTCCACACAGTCTATTTTTTCTGAACCCTGCACGAGGATTGTTAAAGAATTCACCTGAGCCAGACGGGAAGTGAGACGTGGTTCAGCTTTAGGGAGATTTAATAAAATGATGTTCTTGTAATAATCAGTTAGGTTTAAATTTTGGGGAATCGTCAACACGATTGACTAAGGGGGTACTCTTGGTACAAGAAAATGACTCAGGGGTCTACAAGTCAAAAAGGTTGGGAAACACTGGTTCAAACTAACTGATTTGCACTTAAAACTCAATCAATTAGCCCTTTAGTATTGGCTTTATAGGTAGAACATGGAACACGAACACCAAAACGACATCTAGTGGAGGTTGTAGTTGCAACAACAGAACAAGGCTTCCCGCCATCGGGATACCCGGTTTGCTGCTGATATGTGAAATGTTTTATTTGGGTCCATCTGCTGTAGGCTCCACCTAAACTCAGTGGCGGCTCCAGAAATGTTTTTTCTGCAGGTGCTATGGAGGAGATAGTCTTTTTATTGAGGGTGCTATGAAGGAAGTGGTCATGCGTACCTATTGTTCTCTAAAACACCTTCAACACTAGCAGATACACATGCGTGCACAAAACCTCAACAACACCTGAAACAATCATTAATATACATCATAAACACATGAACAATCGCTGAATTTTCCATGAAATCATAAACACATACAGCCACACAGAAAAACATCTATAGAGTTGCATGGTTAGCTAACATTAGTGTTAGCATTTCCAGCGGCAAAACCCTTGACTGCTGTGGCCGTTGAGGGTTGACTCTCTTCATCCAGATCCGTAGGTTTTTGTGGGTCTGAGATCACTTCCAAAGATTCATTCGTTTCTGACTGAACCTGTGGAAATTTGGGCAACAAAAACCGATCAATTTTACCACTAGCTCTACCTTTCACTCGTTCGCAGGTGGAAAATTAGGTCAAGGGTTAACATCCATTTCCTGTTTTGGTTTAAGTTTTTACAATCTATATGATAATTTACTGATTATTTTTGTTTTGTATGTTAAATATGATCACATTCACATGTTAAATTAAAATTAAATTGTAAAAAAAAAATCTAATATTTACTTGGGGGTGCAATGACTAATCCAGGGGTAGCTATAGAAAGAAGAAGAAAATATAATTTCTGTAGCGCCTCTCAAGATAAAAATCACGAGGCGCTTCACAAAAACAAAAAATGTAAAAATATAAAAAAGCATTTAGAAAATGTTTAAAAATATATTTAAAATGAGCAAAAATAGACAATTGTGATTAAAAAATGTTAAGAAAGAGAGAGTGAATAGGAAAGAGGGAAATCAGTGGATCCTTAGGAAGGTGGAATAGGTGGGGAGGGCAGAATAAAGAGAGAGTGGTTGAAGAAGGTCATACAAAAGCCAGCTTGAACAAGTGAGTCTTCAGCTGCTTTTTAAAGGAGACCACTGAGTCCACTGATCTCAGGCTCAGGGGGAGAGAGTTCCAGAGTCTGGTGGCCACAGCAGCAAATGATCTGTCACCTTTTGTCTTTAGCCTGGTGCTGTACAACCAGTAGGCTTTGATCACTGGACCTCAGGGACCTGCTGGGGGTGTAGGGACTAAGAAGATCACCAATGTAAGCTGGTGCTTGTCCGTGTAAGGTCCTATAGACCAGAACCAGGATTTTAAAATGAACCCTGAAGTTGACTGGCAGCCAGTGACGCTGGAGGAGAAGCGGGGTGATCTGGGTGTGTTTGGAGGACTTGGTCAGAAGCCGAGCCCAGGCATTCTGAACCACCTGTAGACGGTTCAGGGAGGTTCTGCTCAGACACGTGAAAAGAGAGTTACAGTAGTCTAAGCATGAGGAGATGAAGGTGTGGAGAACTGTCTCAAGTTCAGAGCAGGACAGAATGGGACTTAGCTTAGCAATGTTCCTGAGATGAAAGAAGGAAGAGTGAAAAAGAGAACTGACATGAGAATCCAGGGTGAGAGCTGGGTCAAAGGTCACACCAAGATTCCTGACAGAAGGTTTGGTGTGGGAAGCAAGCTGACCAAGAGAGTCTCTGACTTTGGGAAGCAGCTTGTCTGGGGCACAGATGAGGATCTCAGTCTTATCTTCATTCAGCTGAAGAAAGCTCCCAGCCATCCAGGTTTAGATAGTCTAAGCAGGTGTGTAACAGCTGCAGCTTAGACATCTCATGGGGCTTAAAGGAGATGTTCAGTTGGATGTCATCTGCATAAAGATGGTAGGAGATTCCTTTGAAGGAGCTCAGGATGTGCTGAAGAGGAAGCAGATAGAGGAGGAAGAGCAGAGGCCCCAGCACAGAACCTTGTGGGACACCATGGGTAAGAGAGGTGGTGGAGGACCTAAACTTGGAGACGGCCACAGAAAAGGAGCACCCCCTAGCGCCCCCCGGCACCGCCACTGCCTAAACTCACTCTGGTTTTAGATCTTTAATGGTCGCTCCTCTTATGAGAAGGATAACGACATGTGCTGGGCTCAGAAGCAGCTACTTGACTTGCTGAGTCCGGCATTTTCCATAGGACCATCTTCACTGTGCTGAGCGCACTGTGGCCCTCTATTGGCTGGTAGATATAAATATAAACCCAGTGTTGTGCCTGTCAAAATAAATATTTGACTTTTTAAAAAAAAATTCAAATAAAGCTTTTCTTCATTCTGCACACAGCTAAACGCCCGTGGAGGTATTATTCAAGAAAATACAGTTTTTTTGTTAAATTGTTCCATGTGTTGTTTATTTTAAATGACCTATTCTTCTTTGAAGGTGCATAAGAGAAATGTGGAGGAAACTTGTTACTGAATAATCACTCATTATACACACGTGCACTTCTTTTTACTGCTGGTTAAGTGAGCACCATGAGGCTCAACACTGAGGTAGTACTGTCGTTGTGTTTGGTACCAGCAGCCTGCAGCGACCCAAATTAACAACTGGTTCCTAAATGTAACCACGTATTTATTTTGGCGTACAGAAAAGAGTGTGTTCTGTGGATCCTTTAGGTTATGTGCGCTTCAGGAAGGAGTATCCAGAGCTGTTTGAGAACCTGACCCCAGAGGCTGTCCGCAGCACCATCGAGGCGGGATACCCCGTAGTGCTGCCCAGCAGAGACCGCTATGGACATGTGGTCCTGCTCTTCAACATCGACAACTGGGACCTGGAGGAGATCACCTTTGATGAGGTACACTGTGATCTTTTATGGGCCATTCCCATCTGTACTGGGTCGGCCCGGGCCGGGTAGCGTAGGTTGTTTACATATCTGGGTGGCCTGGTATTTTTCCGGGCCAACCAAGGCTCATTCTCAGCCCTCTTCTCGAAGGGGTCTGCTTCAGGCCGACCAGGGCCAACACACCCACTGCTGACAGCAAATTCACACCTTCCATTAGAGCAAGCCTCTGATTGGTGGGTAGAATCAGCCCACATGGGCGTAAGACAAGGATGTGTGGAATCAACCGGGCCAGGCTGGGGCTGACTGGGGATACCCTTTTCGGGCCGACCCGGTACAGATGGGAATGGCCCATTAGATTGATCACAAAAATTTTGTTTTCTCTGGAACTTTGGCAGCTTTTTTACTTTTTATTTGTCCAGCTGCTTTTCAAAGAAATGTTTCCTTTGTGTTTGTTAATCTAAGATATTATTAATTGTTCTTAACGCACAACAGACAACTCAGCAAAGAACCAGTTTTACATTGGATCATATTCACTTGTCAAAAGAACACAACATTTTTAATTGAATCTATGAGAAACACCAAAAAGAGCACAGTTTGACACGTTTTTCCACCAGTGAGTTAAAGATTAATAAGTATTTGATGATCGAGTGACAGACAAGGCTTCTCTCACTTCCTGTTTTGGGTATCTGCTGTTATTTCCTCTAATTTGTCAAAGACATTGTTAATTTCCTAAGGATAGAGTATCTTTATGGTTTTGACGTTTGTTCTTTTTTTTCCCACTTTCCTCACATTTAAGACTAACTGTGTAATATTATGTAACGGTCAGGAACGAGGACTGGACAGAAAATGAGAAGAAAGTAGCTAAAGTTCAACCTTTCAGTAAGGTTGGAGAGCAACCAACGAAGACCATTTTAAAAGAGTACTTGAAAGTCTGGTTGCATGGAAGCAAAACAACGAAACCAAGTGTGCACCTTCACATCTTTAACAGGTCCTGAGAGCATACTGTGTGATCCTGGAGAAGTTGCTTGAAAATGAGGAGACTCAGATCAATGGCTTTGTCCTGATTGAGAATTTCAAAGGCTTCACCATGCAGCACGCCTCAGGAATAAAGACGGCTGAGCTCAAAAAGATGGTGGACATGCTGCAGGTAAGATCAGACCCATCTCTGAACACTCCTTAATTTTTAACCTTGAAGGCCAGGTTTACCTGTTATTTTTAAAATATGATCAGTCACTCTGAGTTTAATATGGAGGCTAAATATGAAAATAGTCTTCTACGCCTATTTCATGCATTTGCCTCTGATAGAAAATAGGCGGGGGAGAGCCTGACAGATCTATGTCACAATGTCAAATAAAGTTTCATGGCATCTCATCGAGGAAGGCTGTTGTTGGTTCAGCCTCCAGGAGAAAGCAGAGCACATCTCAACTAGTATAAGCAAGCATTTATCGTTAGCAACTCCACCACATGGCAGAACTCCTTCAGGCATGAGTTATTTGTGGAGATCAAACATCAATGTTGCAGAACAAACAGAGTCAGTGGTAGAGTCACATTGGTGTTAACCAATCAGAGGAGAGATGTCCAAATATCAGGAAATAAGACGCTAAATCCTGTCGACCTCTGCTCTTCTCTGCTCTGGCTCACTTGATTCCTGAAACAGGAGTGCCAGAGCTTTTTTCCACTGAGATTGACTCACAGTGCATTCATAGAGTTGAAAAAATGAGTGAACATGGTCATTAAAGCTGTTTCATGATTGTGCCTGTTTGCTTCTGCAGGACTCGTTCCCCGCCCGTTTCAAAGCGGTTCATGTGATCCACCAGCCCTGGTACTTCACCACCACGTACAACGTGGTCAAACCCTTCATGAAGGCCAAGCTTCTGGAGAGGGTACGAACAAAGGCTAGGATCTATTCCTGACAGGTTCAGTTGAAGCTTTAACTTCTTCTCACCTCCTACAGGTCTTTGTTCATGGTGAAGAACTGGAAAACTACTTCAAGGAATTTGAAGCAGATATTCTGCCTTCAGATTTTGATGGAAGAGCTCCAGTGGCTGACTACCAGGCCATCGCCATCCAACTTTTTGGCTCTGAAGACACTGCTCTCTGAATTAAATTAAAACACACTGACATGAATTTAACCCCAGACTAGCAGCCATATCCTAGGAGGCTTTGTGATCACATATGTGGACTTCACTGAAGTTAGGATTCTTTGTTTTGTTTTTTCAGGCATTTGAGAGCAGAAGAAAGTGTCAGATGTTAGAAGTGAGGGACGATTTTCAGATGAGTAATGAGATGTGAATGAAAACTAAGATTTAGACATCACAGAGAATAAGCGTCACTTCACTGCTCCGATGTTTGTTGATGTTTAGTAGAGAAGGAAACAGAGAATGCTGATGAATCTAAGCAATCACAATCACCTGGGTTTGATCATTAAAATGAGATGTGGTGTGTTACCTGTTATTTTCACTAAAGTATGAATGGTGTGCAAAGCGAACACTGATAAAAGTTAAAACCTACACTTGATTACTGCATTTGAAGCTGCTCGCCGTGGTGCCTTGAGTACCTGCATTTGATCTCAGCTGCATTTCTGTTTTAAAAGTTCTGCATGTATGATTGAGATTTGTTTCAAAAAGGCCTCATCTACCAGAAACACCCATTCTGCCTTTTGCATTGTTAATAAAATGTATCTTTAGTTCTGTGTGACTACTTGTCTGTTTCTTTTCTTTAGTCTGGATGTAGAAATTAAACCTGACCAACATCAGAAGTAAGTTTCAGTATATTTTGCTGCATAAAGCCTGTTGAAATTAGTCTTACTTTTATCACCATAGAAACCCTCATTCCTCCCATAGCATCACCTCTGAATAAAGTCTTACCATTAATTTTAATTCCTGTACTTACAAAAAGAAGCTAAATCTATTGTTTGATTAAAGTTTGAGCTTGTGGGGTTTCCAGGCTCAAATCAACTGAATTTAGTGAATTGAAACAAGTTATAGAAGTTCACATGAATGCTGTGTTATGGAAACATTTATGTTTATTAATTCTTGATCATGGACTCAATCTACTGAATGTAAATGTATTGCTCTATGCCTCTCTGCATGCTCACTTATTCAGACACACCCACACAAGACACACACACACACATTCTTGACTTCCCACACAGGCACAATCTCTCTCTCTCTCTCCACTCCCATGTCTCTAAATAAAGTCTGTGAACAGATGCTCGAGGCATTTTGCCTCGTGCATCTTGCCACAGTTATAACTGTTTGACTTGTTCATCGTCTCCTTTTTCTCTCCGACTATAGGAAATGGGTTATTGATCAAATATATTGATAAAATCCATGACATGCTGTTTTATAACGTTCATGTTGTCATTCATTCACAAATTATGATTATTTTTAATTATAACAAATCCCAGCCAGAAGGGATGTGGCCAGCGTGTCCAGTCTCAGCTGTAACCAACCATGTAATGTGAAGTTTGGGTAGTGGGAAAGTTGATTAAAAAACACTTTACAGGTTACTTTTACAGTGTTAAAAGAGCAAGTCACCCCCTACCAGTCTTACTCCACTCCTGTTTACTGTTTGAAAAATGCACCACAAGAAGATGTTGCCTGGCAGACCGAGTGGGTGGAGCCGATAAGTTCACACAGGCTTACAGCGGCATTGTGACATCATAGGGTACCTCTTAGCCAATAGAGATGGCAGATTTAAATTCAAATGTAGTGCAGTTTTACCTGAAGACAGTGCAACACTGACAGCTTTAGGCAGACTATTTACATTTTCACTAAGACGCACTAAAGGGCCAAGTTATTGACAAGTGTCTGCAGCACGATTAGACCCTCGTTTATATAGTTTATCGGCAAAATAAAGTTAATTTGGGGGTGACTTGCTCTTTAAGTGAGAAAACAAACTTTGTGACTCAATATTAATCAGACATGGTATATTTTACCTAAAGCTAGGGTTCTTTCAGAGCTAAAAGATGTTTGTCCAACCATTTACACAGAAATAAACGTCATAAGATCTGAAATGGTTGAAGGGGACTATTTCCCCATGAGGAAAGGCACAGGTCAAAACTCTCCAGATAAAAAAAAACATTAGTTTAAAATAATAAATTGTAATTCATTATAATTCTAAGGTAAAATTCATTAGATATGTGTTGGTATTCATTTGTTCTCGTCTTCTATCAAATAGAAACCAAGCAGAGAGAAGCTCTAGCAGATTATGGATGCAGCTGCATTATTAAGTCAACAGAATGAGTGGGCTTGTTATACTGCAACCATCGTACTCTGATTCTGAAATAACCAACAGGAAGTCTCTTTAATAGTGTTTTGAGTGTCTGAAATATTTCATTACGAGTGTTAATGAAGCAAAGCTGGAGCAGTAGATAAAAATAAAAACACTTACAGCAGCTTAAAAAACACCCGGCCACCATGTTTCATTTGAAAATAATTTATTTTTAATTCACAATACTCATATTTTCTCACACATTTACTTCACACACCACTGGTTTTCTTTGACATAAAACGCTCAGGGTTCAGAGCACTGTCCCGTTAAAGGATCACCCCTTAGATAAATTTGTTAAAAGGAAGTTAAAGCCGTGTGATGATGACTGCAACACGCTGCATGAATCGATCGACTTGTTCCAAAAATACAACACCGAGCAACGTTCAATCTCAGTACAAGGACTGGTGGTAAATATATTTACATTTAAAGTAATAAGCGGGATATTTAAATCGTCAGATTTCTAAATCTCTTAAGGATGTGCCTGTAACCCTGATGTCTGAATCACTGGGATTAGGATAAACACAGAGGAGCACATTCTTAGAACACAAGAAAACATCGTTGATTCCACATTTCAGGAGAAATGTATCTCCACTCTTTTAATTCCCGTTTACAAAAACTGAAACAGTTTTACATTTCTATTTTACCCTCAAAGTGAACAATGGAAGAGATGTTTTGGTTTTAGTGGCTCAGAGGTGGTGATATGACATTCGCTGTGTACTGTATCAACTCTCACACTGCTGCATTTGCACAAGCAAAAATAACAATAAACAATAGAAAAAAAACAAGACAAATATAACAATTAAATGGAAAAAATAGGTCTAAATAATACATCCAAACCTGCATTCTTTGTGCCAAGTTGGAAAAAGGCAAAGGTCTCAAACAGAACACAAATGGCTCTTAACACAGACTGGGTTTAGTGCTGGTGTCGTCTGAAACACACCCTGGTTTATCTGTGAGAGGTGTGGACCAGCTGAGCCAGCTTCAATGACTCTGGGTGGATGAGATGACCGCTAGGTGTAGCTGCCTCTCTCTGACAGCAGATGGAGACAGAAAAGCAAGGGCAGCTCCGCACCTATGATGTCATAGTTCAATTATGCCTTTCGTCAGCCTGGCTTTACTTAGAACATAATGAATCCAATGAGGTCTACAGAGTCCAGATCTGAAAAGATGAACGCTATTCACGGCGGCCCTGAGCTGAAAGGAAAAGGCTGAATCCCGCTTCAGTTACTCTTTACTCGGATTGATATTAATCTGAAACTAGCAACAAAACTAACCTGATGTCAAATAACAGCTTTCATCAAAATCATATCAGTATTATTAAAAAAACACTAAACCCTGCCACAGTATTATGTCTACAGTCAAAATAAAGGCTTAACACCTGTAAGATATCATGGTTTTAGTTCATAACATTGAAAAGATATTTTTCTAGGAGCTGTAAGTGTGCAAGTATAGAGCACTGGAAACACAAACTGTGTGTGTGTTTAAATGTTACTACCATAAGACAGAAACACGGTGAGCCAGGTGTAAAACAGCCCAACAGAAGGCACTGCTGTCAGTCAGGTCAAGTCCAACCACCGTTTGTCTCATCATCACAGTGTTTAACCACAGATTTCTTGGCTGGACTTAAGTCTTGGAAGAATCTCCCAAAGCCCTTTTACTGATTCGGTTCAGCTTCTGACAAGTCCACAGGTCCCTGCCTTATGGTACGCTTTAATCAACAGGTTTGTGACAACGTTTGGTCGATTTTAAATTCATGCTGCAACGTTTAAAGTCCTAAACCCAGTGGCAAAAACCGACGTGTGGCTGAAAAAATAAATACTCCTAATCATTAAAAGCCATCTTCTTCTTTCATAGTATTTAACACATGAGTCACTGAAATAAACATTTGGTCTAACTTTGGCATCTTTAGCCCTCCTACTTATCAAACCTCACAGCTCAGAAACAAAACGCAATAACTAGATCTGATCTGTCCTTTCCATCGTTTGCACCAAACGGAGTGTGTTGAGTGTCTGTGCAGTACGACGAGGACATCCGAGTGTTAGCTGAACCTGCAGCCCATCAAAGGCAGGAGGAAGTAAGAGGGCTCAGAGACACTAAACACAAAATCACGAGGAACAAAACTCATCATCATCCCTACTCCCTTTTTCCTCTTTGTCTAAAGCACAGCTAAACTATAAGATGCAACAGTACTTGACCAATAAGAAAAAAGGATGCAGGTAACACGTTGTAAAGTGCACTGAATCAAAGTGCGTGTGTGGATCCCGTCAGGAATCGACTCCTGGTTTATGTTTGGTGAACGTGGAAAACTGAAGTGCCAATCGTTATCGCCTGCAGGAAATAATAAATAAATCCCACTGTAATACTTCTAACGAGTGGCTAAAAAAAACAACAGATACTTTAAAACTAAACAATTTGGATCTCACCAACATGACCACTGATGAGGCCTGACCTCCTGGTAGACCAGGTGCACACAAATGTACTCATTACAGCTCTGTTACACACACACACACACACACACACACACACACACACACACACGCACGCACGCACGCACGCACGCACACACGCACACACAGCAGACTAGGCTATATGGGCTTGGCGGTGATGAGCAGTGAGCTGCATAAAGGTGCAGTAAATATGCACATGAAGGCTTTTCTGTGCTCATTTTTAACTAATCTAAAACTATCCTCCCAATTTCCTTAAAATGTCAGCTCAGCCTGATTGGTCAATGCCGCCATTGGCCCAAGTGTCACTGCTGAGTGGATGAAGAGAGAGGAAAAGAAAAAGTTCTGTCTATGCGTCGGGAATGAAGGCAGTTAGTTTCTAGTCTGTTTCAACACCACAAAGTGATTATAGAGGAGTGTAATGGTGTGTGTGTGACTGGGAAACAATGCTGGGTAATGGTGGGTAGCACCAGAAGGCAGAAGACAAATAAGTGTCTCCTCATTGCGGTGAGGGGATCGTGGTGCTGGAGAGTGTAGAGATGTGAGAAGGTGGAGGAGGACTGAGACAGAGGTTTAACTTTCCTCCTCCTGGCAGGCGCCCTCGCTGAAGTGGCTGCTTTGGCATGGTGGTTTCTGTTTCTCCCACTGGCACATGGCGTTGGCGTAACCCACGATCACTTTGTCCATCCAGGTGAGGGGCTGTGGGAAGAGCACCTCGCCCTCAAAGAAGCCCAGGTGGCCTCCGTGGAGCGTAAGGGCAAAGATCACATTGGACTTCTTAGCTGGAGGATAAAGAACAATGAAATGAACCTTCGTCAAAACCACTCAGCATTAGCACGGGGAAAACCAACTAGGACACTTGTATATACTCATATTGTGTGACAGGAATATTCTACATCTGTTACAGATGGAGAGGGTGTGTTTAAAAGGAAGCACGCATGCGCACACGCACACTCTAGTCTAGCATGCGTTGTGAGGACCGTTCATGTATTCCATTCATTTTAGTGACTGGATTGTGCCAGTGCCTAATCCTAACTCGAACCATAACCAGTCTACTCCTTACCCTAACCTTAACTAAAACTTAATTCACACCATACCTCTAAAAATAACCAGTAGAGCTCTGTGACACTGTCCCAAAGTGAGGAACAGTAAAACGTCCTCACTTTGCTACCAATGTCCTCAGTTTGCAGGTAAAAAATGTGTTTTGGTCCTCACTTTGACGTGTAGACTGGCTGGCCGGCCGGCACGTACACACATGCACGCACACACACGGCTTCAAGAACGTGATTTTAAAAACAGAGGACAAAAGGGCTGGTTGATGCCGGTTTACCTTGACAGACAGGCCTTTCAGGCTGTTTGATCGAGTCTTTTAAATAGTTGGGTGGAAAAAAATGCCCCAAGTTATTTGAACACGCCCGTACCCGTCTTTATGTAACCAAAAAATTAAAAATTAAAAACATAATGGCATGTGAAATTGTTTTAGTGTGAAGAACAACAACAACTTCAGAACGTGTTTTCTTTTTGCATCCTTCCACCGTTTCTGTGTTCACATATTCAGACAAATGATGTCGGTGTTGCCGACTGGCTACTTCACATAAAAACCATTTATAAAGAACTTGTTAGTGCCGGTCATCTACCCAGTGACATCATTTGCAGTGATTTAAAGTAGGCCTTCTCTACATTAAGCTCCCTCTGTTGGGTAGAACCTCTGCAGAGCCGTGCAGCTGTGGACCACCAGACAGCGGTCCCAAGGAAAGGATTGGCCTGATTCCTTTATTTTCCCATTCCTATCTGGGTTAGTGGGATAGTCTGATGTGGATGAATAGTGATTAAGATCCCACAGGGCTTTCACCGCTGCACAGTGACAGTCGTGGAGCTGCTCTTGAACAGAAAAGCGCTCGTCCGGACCCTCAACCCACCGCCTCAGCAAGCGCTGAGTGACAGGTGGGAACAAAATGTTCTGCTCAACAGCTCATAGATTAAAAAAGAAGGTCTGGTCATAAAGGCACGCGAATAACACTCCTAAGCATTTCTGTTGGTTTTTTATTTAATCTAGACCTCTAATCCAAGCTGCTCTAAGCACCAACAAAAATTAATTGGATGTGGTCTTTTCTTGATGGTCACTGGACCGCATTGGCTAAACGAAACAGAAAATCCAGTCATTGGTCTCTCAGGAGAAACTTTCAATCCTATGAAGGAAGAAGTAGCGTGAGCTCCAGTAACTCTAAATATAGCAGTCAGCTGGATAGGTAATGGGAAGTTCAAGTAGTCACCATTTTAATAATAACTACATCTAAACATGGGGGACGTGACAGGCGACTGCCTGCTCTGCAACCGGATGGTTGCACGTTTCAGCCCCATCTGTTGCCGCCGTCATGTCCTTGGGCAGGACACGTAACTCGCCTTGCCTGCTGGTGATCGGAGGGACCGGTGCACCCCAGGGCAGCTGTGGCTACAATGTAGTTTATCACTACCAGCACATGAATGTGTGAGTGAATGGGTGGATGACCGTGTTGTAAAGTGCCTTGGGGGGTTGTAGAACGCTAGAAGGCCATTTATATGTAAACATGTGACTCGGCTCATTTTGGGAACCTGTGAAGGAGTTAAATGAGGTTTGAATCTCTTAGTTGCAACAAAACGCCAGACACATTAATCATGGACTTTAGCTCTGAGCTCCACCCTGTCCTGGAGAGGAACATGGAGCCAGCCCACCAGCTACAGCCGTTAGGCCGGACAAGCACGGTGTCCTACTCCTGTCAGGGTGCATGGACTACAAATATGTCACTATTTTTAACAAGTCTATTGTTAACTACTTAACATTCATAAACTGAATGTAGTCTGCCATATAGTAATTAGTAGTTTGCTCCAATTTCCTGTGAAATTTTAGACCAGACCATAAAATTATGAGTGAATATAAAATGATGATTTGTTTGACTTTTACCTGCAACAGTCTTTGGAGATTTTGTTGATCATAAGAGTAAAGATAACAAATTGTATTTCATAGTTTTCCAGAATAATCCTGACCAAGACAAAAATACAAACTGCCTGGCTGCCAGGGATACGAGCTGATTTTTACCTGCTAGCGTTCGAGGGATGGCGAGCAGCGAGTCGTGAACCAAAGGATCATCTGCAGAGTTTACCAGCAGCAGTGGCACATTTACCTGCAAATGTAGCCATAAAACTCCACACATGAATCACACCAGACAAAGGAAACAAGCATGAGATTGTTCCACGTGAAAGATCTTACGTTGTGAATATAATGTACACAGCTCTCCTTCTCGTAGTACTCTTTGAGGGAGCTGTGGCCGTGGAATTTTCTGTTAACACACCAGACATGAGAGATCAATCCTTCATCTGATCAACAAGGAGGACTGTTGATGCGTTCCTCCACCCACCTCATGATGTTGTCATCGATCTGCATCAGAGACGTTGCCGTGTACAGCCGACTGTAATCTGCGTCGATCGTTTTAACCGAGCTTCCTCCAAACAGACTGTGTCTGTTACAAGCACACAAAACACATCAGTTCAACCCAGCTTTTTAAAAGTATAAATGGTCCCATCGTACATCACTCAGTCTGATCAAAGAGCTGAACTTAGTAAGTCATTAGAAATAACCAAGTAGTAGTTATTTCTACTAGACTGAGGGTTGTTTTTCACCCATTAAAAATATGTATAATCTATTATCTTTATTTCCATTCAGCTCAGAATGCCTCCTTGTTAATTTTGTTTTATAATAATATATTAATAATAACACGGTCAGTTATGGCAATGGGTAACAAGGTATTATAGCTTATTGTGTTTATTTTATTTGTAAAATTACCTGTGCTTAAGAGAAAAATGTACTATTACAAGTGACGTGACCTGGAAGAATGTGTGAGCAGTAGCGGGAGGAAATGTAGAGGTGAAAGAAACATGAAAACTATGATAAAGATGGAAAATAATCTGCCTAAGATATCATTCTACTGCTGGTCAAACAGGCGTGCACGGTAATGCTGTTTTTGCCTTGTTACCTCTGAAATGTTTTTGCATATTAATGAGACAAATGTGAGTTTGAAACAAGACATTTGTTTATTATTTTAGTTTTCACAATATCCTACAAAGTTTTACTTTGTTCTGTGATCTGTGTGAAGAAAACAATTATCTGTGGACATCAGTACGAAGCGTGAAGAATCCTTTAGAGCAGACCAGAGAAGCTACACACCTACAACATGCATTATAAAAGAAAATCAAAGATTTCTTTGCAATATTTAAAACTTGAGTCAATGCTCCTGGCAGAATTGCCAGGAAATGTTGTTAATGTGGTAAAAGCCATGTCTCCTGCAGCACTGAGCTATTGTGTTGAGTTGCAACTGCTGTACCTGTGTGAGAGGATGATTTTCTTCATGTTGTCGGCCATGAGGAAATTATAAAAGCGTCGGAACTGATCCCACTGTAGGAATGTTTCCTGAGCCCTGAGAAACAAAAGATAAATACACAAAAGATGCTGAATGTCCCGTTTAATCTGCAGGACAAAGAGCCACATGGGTGGAGCCATGATGTCAGACGGGGAAACTCAGGGACAAATTAGATTAAAAACAACAGTCAATAATAATGCATTAAAATATTAGATATCCACAACCGACAGGTCAGATGATAGAGCTGAATAGAGATGCTTGGTAGACATGCCTTAATGTGAATGGATTGTGCAAACAGAAATGTGTGTACATGAAGTCCTGGTGTGTGATGAGGTAAATGCATGCTGTAAAGACATAAGAACCCACCTGAGAGCGCTGTAGCCCTGACAGACGCTCACACAACACAGCACCCGCTCCTGGTTCACGCTGTTCTCACCCAGGAACTTACAGACTATGTTCCCACCCAGACTGAAGCCCACCACTATCAACTGGGTCTGAGGATACGCCCGCTTAATGTACCCAACCATGGCTGCAAACTCCCATGTGCACCCTGTAAAGAGAAGATATAGAGTTACCATCAATCCATAGCAACACCTCTGCAAGGGTACGACATGTTTCATGGTTTTTTTCTGGTCAGCACTTCTGTCTGAAGGTGCCTTTTGTCCAGACCTGCCTCTCTGAGAGTGTTTAAACCATAATGTCAGCTATTTTTGAAATTCAGCTTATTCTTCTGTATGCTTCATGAGGAGGTAGCCTGTAACTTAGCACCACGTGCTGAGATCTGTCTGAAGTACATCAAAACAAATGTTACCAAAGCTTTTACCTGAGTCACAAACGATGATGCAGCGGTCATCGAGCTAAACTACAATTCGCTTAGCCATCTTAAAAACATGATCACTGTTCCCAGAAGTAATTGGTATTAAAAACAGTAAGTAAGAGGATCCTTCAGTCTCACCATATGTGAACATGCGTGGAGATGTGAGTTCAATGTTGGGAAGGGCACCAAGGTGGTTCAGCACAGCACAGCGGTAGCCATCTTTCTGCGCGTAATCCACAAAGGTCCTGATGTAGTGCTTTTCACTGTGGTTACCAATACCAGGACATATCACCATGGTGATGTCATCTGATGAAACAGGTAGAGTGACCAACGAAAGGGGTTCAAGTGAGAAAATGTTGGCAAATGTATGAAGGAGATCTGTCGGCGAAACTGTAGCTACAAACAGGTAAACAAAACTGTTTCTGTGTTTAAAAAAAGAACGAAAGCATGTATGAAGGAGAGTTTCTGACTCGCCTAATAAACATTTCACTGTGATAAAAGACAAGAAAAATACAACAGCTGATCCAAAATGAAGGCTTAGACTGTCAGTCTGTGAAATGAAGCTTCTACTGAACAGGATTAAACTGTGACATTGCCTATTTAAGAGATTAAGATCATGTAGGTCTTACAGTTATTGAGATAATGTGGTCAGTGTTAAGGTGGTAGGGGTCAGGGGTCATCTGAAGTTTTTAAAGAAGGGAATCCATCTTTAAAACTGTTCTCATAAGCCAAAAGTCAAAGTCAAAAAACAACAAAGAACTAATTTAAGAAACCTGGCAGAAAATGTGATTTGGATAAATTTCTTTGAATTTTTATCTGTTTTGCACGAACAGAATCAGTTATTTTTCTTAATTTTATAGTTTTATGCTTCATAAACTCAGACAGAAAAAAAAAATTCCTAAACGTGTTTCATAACACCCTCTATCTGTTTCCACATGGAAAAAGGAAGAACACTATCAGGAACAACAAAATAGGAGAAATCTCAGGAAGATCAGAGCAGGAAGGGTTCCTCATCCAGGACGGACAAACAATCAATAGGTGTTGCATGAAAAATAAAAAAACTAGACACAAGTTGCAGTAGTACATTTACAGCTGAATAAAACCAAACTACAATACATAACTGAGGTGCAGATGGAATCTGAACGTTGACCGTGACATCATAACCTAATCTTCAACAGTCTGATTGGTTCAAATACATGAAAAAGTAGACGACTAACTGGATGTGGAAAACGAACAAACACTGGATTAAACTAATAATTTAGGCAATCAGCGTAAACTGGAGTCTGAACTTGGAGTTGTAAAAAACCCAAATATTAAATTTAATTGCTTCTCAAAAAAAAAAAAAAAAGATGCTCCATCATGTCCTCTGTAGCGCTGACTCAGACTGAGCTAAGCAGCTCGGATGGAGCAGTGGTCCTAAATTCTCCAAGATTGGTTTATTGTTGCCAACGAAGGCTGGAATATTTATTACATCCTGAGATTGGCTTGCAGCTGTTAAATGAGAGTATTCAACCATGGTATTTTAAAATACTGTTCAGTTTAACCAGAGTTCTTTTTCTACTTGCAAAAACATTTGGGGTAAAAAAAAAAAGTTCTTTTGTCCAGGTAATAGCGTACTTTACAGTTAACAACACTGAGCAAGTGCAGCTAATGCTAGAAAAAGAAAGCGCATTCGCCAGTTGAAAGAAGACAGAGCGCTTGGACGTCAGTAAAAGCAAAGCAATAGAAACAAAAACGTAACTTTAATGCTCAGTTTCTTTTACTCACAGTGCTCATGTAAATTTTCTCCGAGTACTTTTTTTTTACCCTTGCTTGAGTGATTATTTGTGTTACTACTTTATGCATACCACCCACCTCTAGTCAAAAGCCTTTTTCATCCACGTTTGGATGGATGTGCTGTTTAGCCAAGACGTTTAGCTGAACCCCTTCAATTTCACCACTGCCTCCTAGATAACCCCACATCTGGCAGCTGTGGCTACATCGTAGCTCATCACCATTAGTGTGTGAATGTGTGTGAATGGATGAATGATAAACTGTAGTGTAAAGAGCTTTGGAGTTCTTACTCTGAGAGGCGCTATACAAGTGTGGGACATTTATCATTCATGTCAGAGCAGTGCTAGTATGGGCTCGTCATTCTGAGATAAATGACCTTCCCACCGGCAATATTCATTGAACAAATATATGTGCACCCCTTGATCTAATCCACTCTTCCACATCCATCTTGACCTTGGCCCATTCCCTTTCCAGCTGCAGCTTACTGTCACAGACCTTACCCGGCTTTGGAAAAGGGATGAAAATCTCCTCTCTGAAATCTGATCTAGGCATTTAGAGTCTGATTTTCACCTTCCTCAGCAGCGGTGCTTAGTTCCTTCTCATTTGGACATTTTTAGGAGATGAAAATACAACTTTGTGACAAGCAGAGGGAAAAAATGCCCATCTGTTTGTTTAGGATTACCTCCATGAATGCATTGCGATGTTATGTCAAAATCTACTTTCAGCTACTGTAAATTACGCTATTTAGAAAATTTGTTCACTTATTTTTTTTCTCACCCAGAGGAACTGGGTTTAAATGTTGGTAAGTAAAGGCTAAATTTGATCAAGAGCATCACCTCCTGTACGATGGTCACCCACTGGCTCAAAGAGGTCAAAGGTTGACGTGGCCCCATCCTGCATGGGCAAATACTTCCTGATTCCACTTGGGTGAGGCGAGCTCACCCGACCCAGTTTACCGTACAGGGCCGTCTGGAGGTGACCGCTCTTCCCCCACAGCAATGGAGGAATGTACCTACAAAACACAGTATTATGTTATTCAAGGTGATTCTGTAAAATGAGCTACATTACTGCTGTTTTTACAACAGCACAACATAAACATGCACTCACACATCAGCAAAGGCAGTTTGAAAAACATCAGAACTTCATGGAAGATATTTTGCATATGAAAACTTTTCCATTACAGCATCAGGCACACACAATGAGTGTTTCTATTATGTTTTGCTAAGTTATGTTTGGCACAGACAACAAAATTCCAGCAACATCTCAGTAGGAAGTAACAGCAGGATCCAGGTGATTGCATAACAGCGACTGCTTGCACATTTTCCTGAAACCCCATCTCATTTCTAAGTCAGGAAGAATATGATGTGAACAACTTGAAAGGATAAGATAGTTCCCTTTAATATATCAGGAACATTTCATGGTAGATTGTGAGTGATGAGGCAAACACAGCAGGTACAGTAAAGCTACCACAACACAGGTGCAATCAATAGCTGCAGAGGGTCAAGAGTTTGGTTAGATCAGCAGTTATACAACCACTCTAACCTTGTTTTTTCATTGTTCTAACAATCGCTGCACCTAGAGGAGATGGTTATGCAACTGCTGCACGACAAAGATCAGACCACTCCCAGGTTGTGATAATGTGATTACTAACACCATGCACTGTAACTAGGGTTAAAGATTAACCTGTCTTTCTGGAAGGTAATGAGCTGGAAGACAGGAAGATGATCTCACTGTTGTCACAAGGGTAGGGTGTTAGATTGGAGGTGATCATCTTTATATGACAGTGTTTACCTATTGATAACACCTGTTATTGAGGGGTGGGGCAAATACTGTCAAGAATGACCTTTATTTACATTTGTATTAATTAAAAGGCTCTTCTGTGTCTGTGTTACAACAGTGTAAGAACACATCGGCCCAGTCTGATTATTGTTGCCTTCTATATCTTCTCTTGCACGGCGTGTGAGCGACTGGTCTCCACAGCTATTAGGAACACTAAAAAGAAGCTGTTACACCAGTGTGAAGGCAAGGAGTGAAAGTCCAGAGTAAAGTAGACAAAAATGTTAAACTTTAAATGATTAGGGTTAAAACATCAGATTTTAAATAGCTTGTCCTGAGACTTTGGTACAAACGTATAAGAGGTGTGATTACTGTTAAATCTGCAATCCGGAGTTTCCCCCATTCAGAAATTATGTATGATTTTTTTAGAAATCCGTAAAAGTGATATATAACGTTGGCAATATGTCGATTTGTTTTTGCTAAGCCCCGCCCCCGTCCCATAGAGCTCCATGCAACTTAATACTGAGTGCAGCTCAATATTTGCCATTACAGTGGTCCCTTTTTAGTTGTGTGAGTTACGTTCTAAAAATAACCTGCAATAGGCGAAAACTGTGAAGTAGTCAGCTTAATTTTTTACAATTATAGCGTACACAGCCACAATTGGGGCCCCTCTCTCTCTCTTGCGCACACACGCACACATTCTTGTATTTGTATCCATGTTAGGACTTTGTATCGACTTCCATAACCCAAACCCTTACCATAGCACTAACCAGTGTATTCCTAAAGTTATCTGTAACAAAAACTCAATTCACATCTTATCTGTAAACCTCACCCCTAGGGAGTACTCCGTATTAGGACAGAGTTTTGGTCCCAACAAGGACCATCAGTCGTAAGAAGGTTAGTAAATATTAGAGGTGGGAAAAATGATCGATTCTAAGATGCATCGCGATTCAGCCGTGCATGATTCCGCATCGATGCAGCAACGTGACATAATGAGATTCTCTCCCTATGTCTATGTCTATGTCGGGGGTCGGCAGCCGCGGCTCTTCCATCCATCTGATGCGGCTCTCTGTGCTTGTAAAATAATGAATGGATATTTAAATAAAATGCTTTATATTTTAAGCTAATTCTAAATGTAAAGATTGTCTGCGTAAACCTGAACAGTTCCAACCTGGTCTTACTGTGAGACCGGGTTGACACGTCACGCTTGTGCGTAATCATAGACGCATTCTGAGCTGACGAGGAAGTGAGATTCTGGGATTCTCCTCAGCTCCTGGATGTGTCGCCACATTGGAGACAGGAACAAGCACTATTCAGCCAAAGTTTCATAATCAGGGAACATTTTCTAAGTGACAAGTATCGCTTCAGTCAGAGGAATCTTCCTGCATGCGCTCTGGTTCTACGACGTGCTCCAAGCCCCTCTCCACATCTTCAGCTCGCTGTGCGCTGTATGTACGCGCTGACAGCGAGCTGCGCTGAGCAGTGTCCAGCTCAGATGGGAATCATTTCTTGGGTGATCTAGCTACATCTGCGCGAAACGAATAAAGTGTCAATTCGTCTGCATGCGTCGGGGTAATTCTTTCTATTCTTTCTCCGTCAAAATAAATAGTCAAATACGGGAACTATCCGGTCAACACAACACAAGCCCTGCTTTTAACTGTTCTGTTTTCTTGTGAAAATTGTTGTAAAGAGATAAAATTAAACTTGATTAACACCAGAGCCAGGCGCACTGCGCCGTTGTCTCCGTTGCTGTAAATGAGGGAAAAACAAAATGATCGGATCCTTTTCTGACCTTCCCCACCTACAAAGTTTAATTACAACAATCAAACGTGACAGAGCCTGGATTTGAATTCTAAACAGTCTAAACATGTTTTAAAAAGAAACATATGACAAAAGTGGCACCTGCTCAGTAAAACCACCAACAGGGTGAAAAATATCAAAATATTGTAGGCAGAGACGGGCTACAACTTCTGGATCCATTTTATATAAATTGTTTTATTGATTATCGTCTTATGAAAGATAACTTTGACGTACACGAGCGACCGGTACCGGCTGCTGTCACCTGTTGTGAGCAGCTCTCTGCTGTCTGAGGGTAGGCCCCGCCCATAACGCCGCGGCTGCTGTGGCACCCAATGTTTTCTTTACTGTGGGAAACGGGTAATAACGGCTCTTTGATGGAAACAGGTTGCCGACCCCTGGCCTATGTCTATGCAGGACAATAAAGTTTTGAGGTTTTATAATTACTTCTGGGGGCAGAGTTGCAATGACATGTGCACTGCGTTGCCCTAGCGCCAATTTAAAACAAAAGGCGGACAGGGATACAGGGCCAACATTACCAGTAATCAAAGATGTACCCGTTACATTTAAATAGGATGTCTGGGCTAATTTCGGTTTTGGGATCCTGGATGTGAAAGAATCACTTAACACAGTATTTGTTTACTATTTTTAAGTTCAGTAGTATTCTATCTTAAAGCTATACCGAAAACATTATTTCTTATATTATTTAAGTAATTATAGGCAGCACACTTTAAAAATTATTGCTCACTATAGTGAATAGATGAATGTTCTGTTTTCAGGGATTTCGAAATCAAAAAGAAACTGAAAACTATTCTACTGCTTTTATTAAGTAATGAGAATTTTTGTGTGAAGAATCGTGATGCATTTCAGACTCAAATCGAATCGTTAGGCAGATAATCGGAATCGGATCGAATCGTGAGGCAGGTAGAGATGCACACCACTAGTAAATATCGCACAGTCGGTCTTCACAAGGGTACAAATGCTTCAGCATGCAGGTGATTTCTTCTTGGAGGAGGTCTTGTCCTTGATTAATACTGCATAGGAGACTGGTCGTTTGCACACTGAGTGGAAGCACTCTAATTATTCCATTTCCGAAGCCTGGGGAACACCCCGGGGACCCAGACTCCGACAGACCTATTGCTCTGATGTCCGTGGTCTGCAAAGTGATGGAGCACATGGTCACCTCAAGGATGGTGCAATCCCTGGAGTGTGGTGGCTTCTTTACCCAATACCAAATGACCCGCACTGGTATAGCGCCTTTACACTACAGTGTATCATTCATCCATTCATACACACATTCACACACTGTAAGGAGGAGCTGTGAGGAGCTACATTGTTGACAGTGGCGAGGATGTGGAGCACAGACGCCACCAGCCCCTCCGACCACCACTAGCAGGCAAGGTGGGTTAAGTGTCTTGCCCAAGGACACAAAAGTAGAGTTCTAAGTCTAAGAAGTGGTTCAAATGCCTTTGAAGATTTGTCAGGTCAAAATGGGACTTTGTAACAACCAGCGCAATTTGCGTTCCAGTACCTTAATCTTTATGGCCATTCCCAAAGCTCGCACCTCCCTTGGCCGCTCCTCATTCCAGTTTGCTGCTCCCAACAACTGGAATGAGCGGCAAACATCACTAAAGCTCTCTATCCCATTATCTATCTTCAATAACTCATTGCAATCAATAGTTTCTGATCAATGAGGCTGCTTCTGAGTACGTAAATACTGTTTTAAGTCTGTTTTGATTGATTCTACATATTGTTATGAGAACAGTGCTTTGTATTTATGTCTAATTGTTTTATCTTATTTAGATCTTGAATGTTTTTACCTCATCTGATTTTCTTTGATGTAAAGATGTAAAGATAATTAAGTGTCTGTTGCTGCTGCCTCTTGGTCAAATCGCTGTTGTAAATAAGAATGAGTTCTCAGTTGACTCATTTGGTTAAATAAAGGTTTAATACTACAGTAATCCCTCGTTTATCGCGGTAGATGCGTTCCAGACCTGGCCGCGATAGGTGAAAATCCGCAAAGTAGGGACTCCCAGCATGCCCCTCGCGGGGATTCCCTCCACGTCGCACCTACGTCACAAACCGCGGCTATAAACGGAAGTCGCCTTTCCAGCTCACCACTCAGTCATCGTTTCTTCAGATTCATGATCAGAGTTTCCAACCTACCGATCAATCCAACGAACTATCAGCTCATAGTAAGTTATCTTACTTACTTCTGGAAAGCCCGGCATTTCCGTGTCACTTCGTTGACGCTCGAACGCTCGGGGTTTCCTAGATCAGCCGGCGTTTCACCGACGCTATCACTTCCGCGTCTGTGAAACCACACTCCCTACAAGCTCAACTCCCGAATCCAGTCGACCTGTCTGACATACAGTACTATATTGAATTATCGTATGATCACATTCTCTTTTAGTGGGAAAAACTCAAGAAAAATTTTTTTACTTGTTTTTTTTTTAGTTTTATTACAAAAAGTGCATTTTATGATGAAATTGATGGAAAAAAAAACAAGAATTTCTTGATATTTCACATAGAAGAATACCGCAAATCAGTGAAAGATACTGCGAATCTGCGAATTCCCCCTGAAAAATGCTCCCAAAAAAAAAATCCGCAAAGCAGCGAATCCGCGATGAACGAACCGCGAAGTAGCGAGGGATTACTGTATATATATATATATTTATTTATTTATTTATTTATATATATATATATATATATAACTCCGCTCTGCATCCTTGCTTCTTGCGTTTTAGCTCATTTGGGATTTGTGGCTTCAGTTGAGGTATTATTTCAGCCTTTCCAATGTTAATCAGCTGCTCCCAATTGTAAACAGCTTGCTGCCATGTTTACGCATCATAACAAATGCTCAAAAAGTGAAAAAAGCTAAAAAATAGCAGTAAAAATCCTCCAAGCTTCACAGCACCAGAAACAGAAAAGTAAAGTGTCCAAAAAAATACAGTTTTTCTAGAGAAACTAGAAGAAAAAATGCCCAAGAAAAAGGCAAAAACTTACATATAGTCAACAGTAAGGCTGCAACAACGAATCGATAAAATCGATAAAAATCGATTATTAAAAGTGTAGGCAACGAATTGCGTCATCGATTCGTTGTGTCACACAACTCTTCCAACCCCCCCCCCAATAATCCCATTAATTGATTAATCGTGTTGAGACCCCATCCGATTCATCGATTATCCAAATAATCGTTTGTTGCAGCCCTACTCCAACATGCAGCCGCCCAGAGCAGTGCAGTTCTGGGAAAAAAAGGCTCTTAAGGCTCTGGATGTTGTGGGGCTGTGTTGGCTGGCGCGGCTCTGCAATATCGCGTGGACATCGGGGGCAGTCCCACTGGACTGGCAGACTGGGGTGGTGGTCCCCTTATTTAATAAGGGGGACCGCAGGGTGTGTTCCACTACAGGGGGATCACACTCCTGAGCCTTCCTGGTAAGGTCTATTCAGGGGTTCTGGAGAGGAGGGTCCATCGGATTGTTGAACCTCAGATTCAGGAGGAGCAATGTGGTTTTCGTTATGGCCGTGGAACACTGGACCAGCTCTATACCCTTAGGGGGATCCTGGAGGGTGCGTGGGAATTTGCCCAACCAGTCTAAATGTGTTTCGTGTATTTAGAGAAGGTGTTTGACCATGTTCCTTGGGGGGCCCTGTGGGGAGTACTCCGGGAGTATGGGGTACCAGGCCCTCTGATACGGGCTGTTAGGTCCCTGTATGACCGGTGTCAGAGCTTGGTCTGCATTGCCGGCAGTAAGTTGGGCTCATTCCCAGTGAGAGTTGGACTCCGCCAAGGCTGCCCTTGGTCACGGATTATGTTCATAACCTTTATGGACAGAATTTCTAGGCGCAGCCAAGGTGTGGAGGGCATCCGTTTTGGTGGCCTGAGGATCAGGTCTCTGCTTTTTGCAGATGATGTGGTCCTGTTGGCTTCATCAGAACGTGATCTTCAGCTTTTGCTGGAGCGGTTTGCAGCTGAGTGTGAAACAGCTGGGATGAGAATCAGCTCCCCTAAATCTGAGACCATGGTCTTTATTCGGAAAAGGGTAGAATGCCTTCTCCGGGTCAGGGATGAGGTCCTGCCCCAGGTGGAGGAGTTTAAGTATCTCGTGGTCTTTTTCACGAGTGAGGGAAAACTGGAGCGTGAGATCGATAGGCGGATTGGTGCTGCATCTGCAGTGACACAGGCGTTGTACCAGACTGTCGTGGTGAAGAGAGAGAGCTGAGTCAGAAGGCGAAGCTCTCAATTTACCCGTCGATCTACGTTCCTACCCTCACCTATGGTCATGAGCTTTGGGTAGTGACCGAAAGAATGAGATCACGGATACAAGCGGCTGAAATGAGTTTTCTCCGAAGAGTGGCTGGCCTCTCCCTTAGAGATAGGGTGAGAAGCTCGGTCATTCAGGAGGGGCTCGGAATAGATCCGCTGCTCCTCCATATCGAGAGGAGCCAGTTGAGGCAGCTCGGGCATCTGGTCAGGATGCCTCCTGGACGCCTCCCTGGTGAGGTTTTCCGGGCACGTCCAACCGGGAGGAGACCTAAAGGTAGATCCAGGACACGGTGGAGGGACTGTGTCTCTCACCTGGCCAGGGAACGCCTTGGGATTTTCCCGGAGGAGGTGGCCCAAGTGGCTGGGGAAAGTGAAGTCTGGGCCTCTCGCCTTTAGGCTACTGCCCCCGCGATCCGACTCCGGATAAGCAGATGAAAATGGATGGATGGATGATGGATATATGAATTAACAGCATAACATGGGATTAATGATTGTAAAGCAAGTGATTGTGTTTTAGCTCTGTGGGCCAGCGTGTTCATGTATGAGAGGCGTTGCTTCCAGCTATAACCATAAAAGTGTGTGTGTGTGTGGGGGGGGGGGGGGGGGGCTTAAGGTGCTGTACATTCTTCTACCTCTAGATGGTGTCCTTTGAGAAAATTCCCCAAAATGTCTTCTTTAACATAACTGATGTAGACTCAAATTGATCTAACAATCATCCTATTGTCATTCTTACTAAACTTGCTGCTTTAACAAATAAACCATTGGCTTGTTGAATTGCAATAATAATCAATTCTAAACAAAACTGTCAGCTCAAACTCAAACGATTACTTCTGCACTGTGGTGAGTGTCAACTCCCCCCTGGGTGTATGTTTCCAAACACAGAAACAAAAACAGTGTCAACCTCAGATCACCCTTCTATCCTCTCAGAGAGTAATTGATTGCTTATGCAACAACAAACATGACTTGACTCTGAAACATTAGTAGCACAGAGAGTTTCCAGATCTTTGCTCAACTCAGTTCACACAGGGCCAGCAGATTATGGCTGTTCAGGAGGTAATGATAACACACAAGTGTAAATAACATTGGTGACCTATGACTCACTGACCCTGCAGCTGAAAGGCAAAGGGGCTGTGTAACCCACTCTAATACAAGCAGATGCTCCCAAAGGCTCAGAGAAGACCTTGTGGATGAGAAAAGTTGAAACAGAATCTGGATTTATACACAGAATGTAATTTTGAAAGAAGCATTTAATGAAGGGAGGTTTTAGCTTGACCACGTTCCGCTAGTTTGCATCAGTTATTCTTAAGAGAAAGACAAGCGTCATCATTAATGCAAATCTCCATGTGGGCCATGAATGGGTCTTTATTCATCATACAAATGTGAGAAACCCATTCTACCATGGATTAGTGTAGTCTAGTGTTTAATTCCATCAACCTTAGACACTGAAGCCAAACACCTCTGGTACACGCTCAGCAACACTGATGACAAACAAGACCGCCGCTAGTCAAACTGCTACCTTCAACGCAGCCCCAGATGGCCAGAAAGCAGCCTCGTCTCAATGGCAACGCCTTAATTGACCAACACAGAGCTAAGAACGCAACTCACTCTTTGGTCAGCTGAGAGCAGGACTTGAGGAGGAAGCTGTTGAGTGGTGTGTCCTGGTAGGTGAGGTCCGGAGGTGCGGTTGGGCTCTTGAGGTTCAAGCAGCGGACGATGACGTAGAGCACTGTGGCCACCGCAGCCATCTTCACGCCATCAAACATCGCCGGCATCTCTGGAGAGATGGTGCGCAGGTCTGACTCGTGGGCGCTCATGATTATGCTGCACAAAACCAAAACAATAGAGCACAAAACATGAATAAAAGCAACATAACAGAGAAAATGTAGCAACACGCTTTCTTTTTAAATGTTTATCCAATAAAATACTGACTATTTGAACTAATTAATACCAGCATTAGTGTTCCACCTAGAGTGGAATAACAAATAAATAAAATAAATGCATGAGCTCTGACTGACCTGGATATTCTTGTTTGTAAGTGACAGTACCAGATCTGCAGGAACATAAAGTGAGATTATCTCCGTCAGACGAGGCGCAAAGGGTTATTAATAGGACTAACCTTGATTATAACATTGCCAAGAGGAAGCTTAATTATATGAAAGAAAAAGAAGCTGATGATACTCAAAATGCATAAGTGCATGCACAATAACAGCAGCTGTCCGCTGACCAACATAACCAGGAATGAAATGCACCTACACAGGTTTTTCTCTTAAAGCATTAAAGAGCAAGTCCCACCAAAATCTACTTTTTGTTGCTGATAATGTGTATAAATATGTGTATTATAGTGTTGTAGACATGTGTAGTTATTTTTGTATTTTGGTGCATTTTCTTTAAAAACTTCAAATTCAGCCTAAAACCTTCAGTTTAGCACCCTCTTCAGCTCAAAAATATTCTACATAAATTTACAACAGCAGTCTTCTGAGCGGTTCACAGGCAAAAGGGACAATACAAAGTGCTAATTTATAGAGAAACTCCACTGAAAAAAGGAAGTTGTGACACAGTGTGGCCTAAAAGTCCCATAGAAAGAGGTGAGAAATGTCTCTTTTAGCTGTGTTTTCAGTCATTAGTACAGATATCAACACAACAGGAAGAAAAGAGTAATGGGTGTTTTACTTGCTAGCTCAAGAACGCCTCCAGTAACAGAAAGTCTCCAAAGGTGTAAAAAAAAGTGTTGAGGTCAAGTCTCTTCAAATCACAGTGGTGTGGTCAGATCTGCAGAAAAAAAAGATCATTTACATCTTAAATATAGCGTGAAAAACAATAAAATACCTTTTTTTCACAAATAGAAACCCTACATTACCTTTGCTCTCATTTATTTGCAGTCTAAAAAAACATCAACAGAATGTATCTAATTCTGTGGTGAAAAATGTTGGGGGAAAGACTCTTTCGTGTTTTTCTGCACTTGTTTATATGGTTACTCTCATATATTTATAACAATTACAAAATATCATCAGTTATTGACGCATTTGTTATCCTGCCATTGTTTCACATCTGCATATTTGAAAGCCTCGATATGCTTAACTATTGGACAAACCCCTGTTTTACCTATGTTAAGGATAACAGGAACTTTTTCTAAGTGCAGAATATTAATGCCACACAACTCTAAATTAAGACCACTGCTTACAAAAGTAGCATCAGTCTTAATCTTTTAAATACAGCACAAGCAACACACGTAACCAAGCCTCATGCCCAAACAAACACAGGTCCATAATCTCACCCAGCATCTTACAATTAGCTTCATTAAATGACCCAGAATAATACCAATCTATTGCATGAATAAATGTCTTAATGGACCAATGAGGCGCAAGAACTGGGGTGATTCATTCTGGTCATGTCTTGAAAATTTTGCATTAAAAAAAGGTAGAAAATTAATAACAAGGTAGTACATTTATAAAATGTTATTTTTGAAATATTGAAAAAAATTGATAAACAACTGAAATACATCACTATTTCTAACTGATTTTACAAACTTCCCTCCAAATAAATAAAAACTTTCTAAATGTAGTTTTTTCTAATTATTCTCATTTTTAAAGACTGACAAAAAAAATGGTCCAATGAATGAAACTGGGTCGATATTAACAACCACTATTTTTTCCATCTTATTTCTATTTGTTTATCTGTTTCGGAGGGTGGGGGGAGGGGGGGTGTATTTGTTTAGTCATGTGACAGTGATCATCTCAGAAGCCTAAATGTGTGGTGTATTTACATAATAACGTAAATTCAGCTTTAATTAATTTTTTTAAACACAAATGTAACCACCTTGTGGTTGTTTTGTGTATTTATTAGCCTTTGTTGGTGAAGGGCTAGTTTTTTCATCCATAATAACAAACACAACAAGCGTCTGCATCAAACATGTATATTGGTTTTTAAAGTTAAGTGACTTTATATGACTTATCGGTAAAACAGGGTTGAGTCCAGGTTGGGAGCGGCTGCCTTCACTCAGCTCTTAGCCTTTGTCACTCACGACTCACCACTACCTTACAAGGAAGGAGACCAACCCTACAGCCGTTGGTGAATGTGGCAGGCTTTAGACGGATGTGAAGAAGTTAAGAGACCTTTATACAAGTGAAGGAAGAGATATTCAGGACTCCCCATCAGATCTTTGACCACTTATCCCAGAAAAATAGCTAAACTGTTTTCTTCCCACCCACACTTACTAGAGTTGCTCTCCAAGATGAACCAAGATAAACCTTTGACCAGATGTTACGTGTATTAAACGTAAAAGCAGCTCGAACGTGTGCTATCAATAATAAGTATGTTAAAATTGAGAGAATGTAACATCGTTTAGTCCTCAGCAACAACACGAGGCTTACTTACCTCAGCTGGGAAACAGAGACCGACTCCTGGGAGCTTTAAGGCGACAGCCGTAGCACGCTGGTTTTCATATGCTTCTTGTGGCTTTGAAGCACAGCAGCCTGGTGTGTACCATGCCCCCTCTGGTGTAGAAAAAAGAAAAAGAAAAAAAGGAAAAGGGAAAACAGAGCTAGTCACACTAGCCCAAGTAGCTCTAACAGCCCACTTCCTAGAACAATCTGCTTATTTGCATTTCTGTGCTCTGATTGGTTGAAACGTGCAATGACGTACAACAACAGGCCGTTTTTTACGTTTTTTACACATCCTCCAATGTATCGTTTCCATTCATTTTTTGTTATGTCTTGAAAATACTGCGAATTTTTATCAGAAAGTGTTAAAAATGAAGTTATGGTGAATTAAATGGTTTATTTGTGGCCAACACTATGTTTGTTACTGTGTTTCGTAGCACGTGCCGGGAACGTGAGCCGACTGCTGTTGCGTAATGTCATAAAATGTCTCATTTTTCTGTATTGCTGCATTTGCCTTCACCTATTGTTGTGATTTTACACTAACGCAAAGCTAGCCACTGTCGTTTTAGTTCTAGCTAGACCTATTTCATACACACAAAGCTGCTGAAGCATCATGTTTGAAATAACATTTAGCTTGTTTATAAACCAGCAGCTCAAACTAAATATTCTATTTTCTGCATGTATTAAAAGTTGTTTAATGTTGTTACCTTCTGTATAAAGCGAATTATATATAAAAATATGTGCTGTAGTGTAAACACAATGCCCACTTGATGGCGACAGAGTACAGACAGTTATTTTACTTTTTTTATGTAGCCTGTTTCTCACATAAATAATGTGGGCTATCTGATTTTAACAATGTAATCGCACATGCTTTAAAGACGAAGCCCTTTTTAATGTGAACAAATACATTCAACAAAGCAGAATTTAGCTTAGTTTAGATAAGACTTTGTTGATCCCACAGTGGGGAAATTTGTGCTTTACCACAGCTCAGGACAGAAAGCAAAACAATTCAAAATTTGAAGGAGAAGAAAATGTTCAAAAAGTGTACGGAAGAAGAAGAAGAAGAAGAAGACTATACAACAATAGTTCCTGTGTAGACACCTAGACACATACACAGCACGCATTATCGATGGAGGGTTGTAGGTAGACTGGTATTAAGACTTCAGTGCTTTATTTCTGTTTATGAATAGAATTTCCACACTGAAAAACAAATTATATTTACAATAAAACATCTAAAAAATTTGTGAACCTTTTCAGCACAGGAAAGAGAACATCAGCATTCCATTCAGTGGATTTGATTCAACATATTTTTAATGACAAAATATTCATAATTTATTTTATTAATATGCTGGTTAATCATTTACACATGTTACTCACTGTGCCTTAATGAATCATGCCAAAAGAAAAAAGAAAAACATAAAATAAACAAAAAACATATTATTACTATTGTTGTTGTTTTTGTTGTTAATATTGACTGGACTGACATATCTGCACAGTTCTACACAATATTTTCTTGTGTTGACTTTTACAGTTTGTTAAGCTTTTAAGACCTATTTCTGAATTATTGATGATGATGATGATGATGATGATGATGATGATGATGATGATGATGATGATGATAACAATAATAATATACCAATTTTTATATATTAAAACATTTACAACGTAGCATAAACTGTGTCTACTTGTGTATAAATGAACAAAATAAGAAAACTATGAAATATCTTTAGCAGGACAGGTGGTAAAAATGTCTTTCATTCATAAAGGCTGCAGACTCCTGCTCCAAATAAATTTAGAAAACGCAAATATTGAAAAAATGTCATTGTTTTTTGCGTGTGTGTGGACACAATGATTTAGTGACGCTGTTTCTGTGTTGTTTTAAAAGCTTTTGTGACGTGTTGACTTCTTAATTTGGTGATGAAAAAGCCTTGGCTACACTTTTTAGGTTGGGTTTGCATCACTGGAGGGTTTATTTTTGTCATGTCTAATTACCTTTTTCAAAACGTAAACAGTGGGTTCGTTTAAAGCTTTTCTGACGGAGAACCAAGCAAGCAGACTCAACAGCAGAGTTCATCCTCCCCCGACCTCTCCGCTCATTGGATGAAATGAAGTCACGTGTCACCGAGCAACCTCTACTGTCTCGCTTGATGACTCAGAATGACCGCTGATATTTCCGACGGCACCTAAAGGCAGCGTTAGTTGAGTTCAGAGGTTCGGAGCAAACAAAGTTAGAGTAAACAAACATGAACCGACCTGGGAACAGAACCTCTGAGGTTCTGGGAGCTTTAGTTCTTCTACTTTTCTTTTATTCAGTCAGAGGTAAGTGAGACATTATTCATTTGAAAAAAATATCCAGTTCATTTGGTTTTTTAGGTGTTGGCTGATGGGCGAGCTTCTACATGTCTGCACTCCATCAGCCTTTTCTGTTCTTTTATCCTGAATAAAACTTTTAAAATAAAACAAAAACGTATCAGGATGCTGGATATTTTTGCTCCTTTTAAACTGAAATTATTTTTCATTGTAGACACGGCTGTTGGAGTAGTTGACAGAATGAGATGTAAAACAGATTAATACCATAAATGCCCCAAATTTTAAAAGTTTGATTTAAAAGTATTAAATCACTCAAGAGTCAGTAACTGTTTTCCAGAAGGTGACTCATATAAAATGAGTATTTGTATATTTATAGTGTGAGCCTTGGATAGCTGCTTATTATTGCCATGGTAGAGTGGTGATTTAAGTGCGACATCACTATAGTTATTACACGTGACATTGTTATTACTATATTTCACAGCTAAGACACACTTAGTTTTGTCAAAGAAAACTTGAAGCGGAAGGTTTGTCTTTTCATTCAGACTTACAGAGGGCCTAAAACGATCCTCCTAATTCTGAAAGGAGTTGTCAGCTTGATGTTGACATCACCTCACTGCACACAGAAATAATACAGACGGAGCAGAAAATAACACCATATGTTCTCCTGTCTGGAGCACACCTGAGCGATCTGTGCACCCATCTAACCTTTGATCTACCTGTAAACGTGCCACTGACCTGCAGGGATTAAACTGATATAGCTACCACGATTGAGGCTCTATCTGCTTCTGTGGGTGCTGATGCATTCTGGGCCAAATGCTTTGCTCACCTGTTGCTCAGGTGTGCTGCTTGTTGCCTCCACATTGTGTAGCTGCTCAGTCGTGAAGGAGCTGCACATTTCTGTACAACCTGGCTAATCCTGCAAGCTCTTAATCCAAAGGATAAACGTGTCGTGCTGTGTCTGCTGACTTCATGTGTGTTCGACTTTAGCTTCTTTGACAGTCATTTGGTCCTAAAATATTATTTTTAGTTTCTATACCATTATAAAAATTTAATTGCAAGATTTTATTTGAAAAAAAAAATTGAGAAGTGTGACAACAGCTGTCAGATATTAACAGGTATGAACTTGTTTCTTTACTTTGTGAATTGTGGTCTCTCAGTGTTTATATGCAAGGGGAGCTGGAAGTTTTAGGCATTTTTGTTCCAAAGCATTATAAAATCAGTGAAACAAAATGGAAAACAAATTTATTAAAATACTATAAAATGTGAGTTAAAACTGTTTACAGAGCTGCTCACACTGAAGGTTTAGTCTATTGTTTCTCTTCATCTAGCCATAATCAGTTATTTATTTCAATAGGTTGCATTTTTCAGTGTTTTTCTCACATATTGGTTCAGAAATGTCTCTCATATCAAAGTGGCACAACTAAGATAAATGTTTTGTCAACAACCAAAACAGCTCAAACACAAGCAGCTCTGAGGGAGAAATCAGCACATTTTTCTATCAAGATGTAAAAAACACAAGATTAAAGACTAAATATTCCCCCCCTCTCTACAAGCTGTTATAATAGCTGGATCCTTCATTGCTTTTCTCTTTCCCAGGTGACTACTGTGAGGTGAATCTTTGCCACAATGGAGGGACATGTGTGACAGGGGTAGGAGACGATCCCTTCATCTGCATCTGTGCAGATGGCTTCGGTGGAGACACCTGTAACCTGACAGAGACAGGTAGAGTGACAAAGAGGGGTTTTAGAGGAGCATCTTTTGTGGTTTAGGATTAACTAAGTGTTTTGTTCATGGATTCTTTAGGGCCGTGCAGTCCAAACCCCTGCAAGAACGATGGGTCGTGCGAGGTCATTGCTCCGACCAGACGAGGCGATGTTTTCAGTGAATACCTCTGCAGGTGTCAGTCGGGATTTGAGGGAGTGCACTGCCAGATCAGTACGTCAAGGTTTTTTTCTTCTTCTTTTGGTCTTGGTTGAAATTGAAATTTTTAAATTATATTAAAGTTGATATGGAAAACTCACCTTTTACACTATTTGGTGCTGCCGTATGGGTCTCCAATGTCTCTATAAACACTCCAAATGTAAAAAAAAAAAACCTCCCATTTTCTGTCAGCGTTTGGTTTTAGGAATTATGCTCCTAAAACAAGCAGTTCAAAAAGGTCCCGATAGGTGATGCCAGATGCGGGGAATTGAGAAAGGACTACCTCTCATTTGTAAGAGAGAGCTCCTATATATCAGGAGCTTCTCAGCTTATAGCAGCCTGAACCGAGGATGGGTAGGCATGGCCAGCTCCAGTTTGTTTTACTAAAGCGAGCCCTGAAACAACTCATTCTGGAAAGTACTGAAACTGTAAAGTATAAAACGTCTGAAATTGCTTAATGTGAGAGGGATTAGTGTAAAAAAACTTGTTAGATCAGAACCAGATTTTATCTGTTCATGGTTGTTTATCAGCAATTATAGAACTATTAAAACTTTAGAAAAGGGTCATAATATGTTCCATTTAAATGAATTTGAACTTTTTTAGTAATTTAAGACAGAGTTTATGTAAAAGCTGAACATCTAAATCTGAAAGAAAATTTATAATCTAGAGCAAAGTAAGTGGATGGGAAAAGATGGTGTTGGCTCCTTTAAAAAGGAACTTCTCTGCAAATCCTGCCACAGCATCAGCGATGAAAGAGATGTGTCCTCTCAGTGGATCCATGAAAGGGGCTCATTCAAGGGGATCTGTGGGATTTTTGTTTGGCTAATTAGTAAAAGTCCATTCTTAGTCTCTTAGCATTCAGGTGTCCTCCTCTCTGGATCAACCCTATGTTTACTGGTGCCTTTAATTCATTCATGGCCTCTTTAAGAAACTCCCAAGAACTTTTGGTTTACTGCAGGACTCTAAAAAATGTTGATGCTAATGAAAGGAAAACTAGCTATAAAGAAAAAGAACATTTCTCAGAAACCGAACACGTTTCACATCCTGTAAATCAGGTCATCTGTGCCCGATCATTTTCTGCTGTGGCTGAGTTTAAACAAACAATGTTGTTCACTCTGAATAAAACTGCACTCTGACATTAGAAAAATTGAGGAAAATCGGCTAAAGCAACAAAAGTCAAACTTGCAAATGCTGAACATGTATGTCTACGTCCAGTCTGTTTTTAGTATCGTTATTAACAGATCAGGTCTCTTAAAGCAGAGTTAGGTTAGTTTCCATTGTAAGTTTTATCACACATGAGATTAGATGAGTGTGTGCAGGCTGAGGGTTTGGACATAAACACAGAGCTGATCTGGGTGCAGTGATTCCTAAAGTCTAACTGATTCGGAGCCACACACCTGGTTTTAAAAACTGCTACTGAGTTTTAGGTTCTTAGGTGCACGTCGCTGACCTGTCTGGTCATTACTGGGTCAGTTGTCTCACAACCATTCACATCTTGAAACATGTGACCAAAACATCTGAAATGCTGGTCAACCAGGTGAAAAACCCCTCATCAGCCATTTGAACTTCTTTTTTCAAACCCAAGGCTGACCCATCTTTTTTTTTGTACCACTTTGGATTTATGTCTAATTTCACACATTCAGAGTTTTGGAACATCACGCACCTTCAGTGGCATCCAGTTCCCCTAATTAAAGGCTTAAGCTGAGAGTTTCTACATTGGTTGTGATCGCTGTCGCCCGTTTGATTCCTTTTCTAAATAGGTCACTAAAAAAGTTCTAAACAATCTGCTCCTGCTGTGTAAGGGTTCCACCTTGTGGAGAATATTTAAATTATATGGAAAGTTTAAGGGGGAAACAGGAAATTACCTCAGACATTCTGTTGTCATGGTTACTGTCAAGCAGAGGCTATTTTTTCCATGTTAATCTTTTAAAGAGCATTCAGCAAAATACGAAGTTAATGCTCCAACTCTTGAATGTTATTGAGACTGTTGATTTTGTCCTTTTAGGTTTGTTTTTTTTAAGTTTGAAACATTTTAAAAAGTTTTTCCTTTAGGCTTCAGTTATAGACCTAAAGTGTGCAAAGGTGTTTGTCATTCTCCATTTTAAAGGTCATTAATCAACCTACAAAACTAATTCAATGACATTTAAAAGAAACTCAGTAGAGTCCAGGATTGTTCGCGACATCCTGTTGCTAAAATCCAGAACCTGGGTTTTGTGTAAAGCTGATCTAACAACTGTTTTGTTTATATTTAGCAACCTTTCCCTTCCTACTTATTGTTGCCTTTGGAGCGTCTGAGTCTTTGTGTTTGTATTCTGATCATCCACCTGCTTTACATCCTCAAGTTATCCCATTTTCTGTGATTTTTGTGTTGAACACTTGTTTAACATGTGGCTAAAAAGCCTTTTGTGGACATGTCAGATTAATACGGTGCGTTTTCTCCAGACGTGAACGACTGTGCCAACCAGCCCTGTAAGAATGGAGGCACCTGTCGAGATCTCGATGGAGACTACACCTGCCACTGCCCCTCCCCGTATGTTGGAAAGCAGTGCCAGCTGCGTAAGGAACTTATCATTTTTGAGCATGGTCAAAATACCAACTCTGTATTGTTTTTGCATGAAATATTGTTTTATGGGCTGATCTGAGGTGTTCAGCCTATTGGTGACTAGAAAACAATGTTGTATCTTAGGTTGTATTTCCCTGCTGGGGATGGAAGGAGGAGCAATCATAGAGTCCCAGATCTCTTCCTCCTCTGTGCACTACGGTGTTCTGGGTCTTCAGCGCTGGGGCCCCGAGTTGGCCCGTCTCAACAACCAGGGCATTGTCAATGCCTGGACGTCAGCCTCCCATGACAGGAACCCTTGGATTGAGGTGATGGAAGATTAATTCTAATTCAGACCATAGCTTGTGTAATGCAACTGGCAGACTCTTTAATCTTTGTTTTAAAAAACAGATTAACATGCAGAAGAAGATTCGTCTGACAGGCATCATCACTCAGGGCGCCAGTCGCATGGGTGCAGCTGAGTTCATCAAGGCCTTCAAAGTGGCGAGCAGCTTGGACGGATTCAGTTACATCACCTACAAAGGAGACAGCCTACGAAGGGATCAGGTCAGAGGTCACGTTTGATTGGGTAAAGAGGATTTCTCTTTAGGGTTGCGCCGACCTTTTTACACGTGTTTGTGCGCTGCAGGTTTTTGTGGGGAACTCTGATAACGACGGCACCAAGACCAACATGTTCGACCCGCCCATCGTGGCCCAGTACATCCGGATCGTCCCTGTGGTCTGCCGCCGGGCCTGCACGCTGCGCATGGAGCTGGTGGGCTGTGAACTGAATGGTAAACAGACAGAAATTATGGCCAAGACAAGTTTTTATTTGAGTGTCAATTTCAAAAATATGCATAAATTCCCGGTAACAATGATTTGAAGAGCCCTTCTCTTCCTGTCGTCATTTGTTTAACTGTGTTGTTTTTACTTATGGGTTAACACATCTTACCTTTATCTGCCTTCTTATCTCAAATACACACATCGATTACCTCATAGCTCTCCTCACATTTTCTTTACCTTGTTCTATTTTTCCATGTTGGTTGGGTAAGGGGTGGGTTGAATCAGTTTTAATCAGCTTTGTGGATCTTCTTGCTTCTCTTCTAAACGTCGGATGACATTGATTCCTTTTATCTTTTGGGTGTATCACGCTTTTCCATCTCCTCCTTTTTCCCCTCTCTCCGTTTTGCATTTCATTCATAGTCCGTTCCAACACGGCAGGTTGCTCCGAACCTCTGGGGATTAAATCTCGCCTCATCTCTGATGAGCATCTTACAGCCTCCAGCACTTTCCGCACGTGGGGTATCGACACCTTCACCTGGCACCCTCAGTTCGCTCGGCTGGACAAGGCGGGGAAGACAAATGCCTGGTCTCCTGCACAAAACAACCGTTCAGAGTGGATCCAGGTTCAGACATACCTCAGCGGTAAAGCGTTATGTTGTTTTAATTCATTTTGCAGAATTTGACCGTTTTTTTCCTGCTCTCTCCTCAGGTTGATCTAGGGAAGACGAAACGACTCACGGGCATCATCACTCAGGGGGCGAAGGACTTTGGTGTGGTGCAGTTTGTGTCAGAGTTTAAAGTTGCATACAGCGACAACGGAGAGGTGTGGAGTATGGTGAAGGATGAGAACAGCGGTGAAGATAAGGTCAGACATTAAACAAACATCCAAAATGATTTTGATGCTGAAATTCAGCCTGATGACTGAATACTAACACAACGTGAGATCTCTCCTGGAATGAGTTTCACAGTTTGACTAAAACAACTATAAGCCCGCCGTTATTTTCCCGCTGCAGAAACGTTCCAGAAGGTCTAGGATCGTTTGGTCTGTTCTGATATTTTATCGGGGATCCTAACAGCAGATTCTGAGCCTAAATCATCTGAAAAACAAGCCTAAACATTTGAGTACAAATAAATGTAACGTTATTTTACCAGTTTTAAGATTTGTAAACAAGCAACTTTTTTTTCCCCATTGGAATTTTTTTTAAACTCAAAACAAGAAATTTTGCATCATATTAAAGAACATTTAGCGTATTCCAAGTAGTGCTGATTTTGCAGATACAGAACTTTTTTTTATTTTTTAGACTAAAAATAAGACAACATTTCTAAAGTCAAGTATTTTATACTTTCTTGAAAGTCTGTTTTTGCAGTGTGATCTTGTTGAATGAATGAATAACTTTTATTAGATTTTGAGGGACAGTGTGCATTAATTAACATTTTACAGTTATAGCCAAAAGGCTAATTTCCATCGGCATTCCCCCTGTCTGAAGGTGCCTCATAACATTTTAAAAGAAATACAACAAGTAAAAACACATTACACCCCCCCAACCTCATGTTGTGCTTGTGTGTATGCTCTCTCAGAAAAAGTACCCAATTATAACTTTAAGGCTCCAAAAACTTGTTCTGAGGTTATTTTTTTCTGTCTACACAAGTTTTATTTTCTAAGTTTTTTCAAGACTACCAAAGTTTGCCAACTTTTGGGGAAATATTCTTCCAACTAAAACCCTAAATAAAATTAGACGTCGACCAGTATTGTTTTTTTTCTATTGCTGATACCGATGCCGATAAGTAAAAGACAGCCGATGGCCGATATGTACTACCAATTTGCACAGGCTGATTTTTATGGCCGATACCCACCTTATTTTCATGCTAAAATGTCACTAATAACATCAGTTGATACACAAAATTTCTGAAGCAGTTTTTGAACTTTGATTTTATCTGAGTGTTAAATCTTAACTTTGCGCACTGCTCAGTCTTAAAGTCAGACACCTAAATAAAGTTAATATAGAGTATGTATTATGCAAATGTTATTAGTGAACGTAAAAATACATTTAAATTACATTCTGCGGCAGCACCGGGCTGCCCGAGGATGCGCCTGACTTTAAATCAGCTTTACTAAGAACAAATATCAGCCGACTCTAATGCATAAAAAACGGTAAATATCAGCCCGGTATATCAGTCTGACCCTAAATAAAATCACTTAATTTTCTTTTCCCTTGAATCCCAGATGGCATTGTACCTTAACATTTAGAGTAATCAGTACATTAATGTAGTTTTTACCATGGGGAACATAAACTGGCTCTCCAGGTCCTCCAGCAGACACACGTAAGTTACCTTCAGGTCCATTATTTAACCACAGAGGACAAAGAAGTCCAAAACGCACCCTCGGGATTAAAAAGTATTTCATCTGTGCTTTTAGTTTTGACTGAGAGATAACATCACAACCACGGTTCATGTCCTGGCCTTCCGTTGTTATACAGCTGGGTAATGCCAGTTAAAAGTACAGTAATTTATTGTCTTGTAGCTGTGCTCTTATAGTTAAACATGATATTTGTGCTGTGGTTTTGCTCAGTAACTAAACTTATCACCTAATTTTTGATCACAGCTTTTCCAAGGAAACACTGATAACAACACTCATAAGAAGAACATATTTGAGGCTCCTTTCTACGCCCGGTTTGTCAGAGTCGTCCCCTGGGAGTGGCACGAACGCATCACTCTACGCATGGAGCTGCTGGGCTGCGATGACTAGAACCTGACAGACGTCTGCTCACGTCTCCAGCAGAACCATCCTCATCCAGCCGCCCAACGTGGAACATACTGCGGAGATTTGAGTGGACTCGTAGCACTTTCTCATTAGAGATTTATTTGTATTTACATGGCATCACCAGTTGTTTTGTGTTGACGTTGACATTTCTAACTCTTCCAGTATGAAGACTGACCGGTGAAGTCAGGTCTTAGCAACATTTTCATGAGATTTTTTTTAATTGCAATTTGTCTTTTTTTTCCCTCTACGGTTCGTGTGTCATTTTATTCTAATTTGGTATTTCTACTAAAAATGTAAAATATGTAGAAAATGTATAAAAGAAAAATTTTTTTCATTGTTTTTGTAACTTATTGTTGGTCTTAAAGCTGAGATCATTATTAAATACTGGAGTAAGTCTCGGCTGTGTGCTCCTCTGTTGAGAATCTGTCCATCTAACTGGCTCAGTTTCAATAACACAACACACTACTATTAGATAATAAACATGCTAGAGTGGATGCTGCTGGCTGGATTCAAATTTAACAGACACATTAATACATGGAGAACAGAAAAAGTAGAAAGCGGTGGTATCTGCAGGTTTAAAGAAGCCACAGTTAAGACTTTGATCAATTTAAAGACCTTACATTGTCTGAATGAAAACCCATACTTAAGTGTTGAAAAATAAAGATAATCGCTCTGCAGAGGATGTATTTTCCAAAGACACACGCAGCCTCAAGTGGCTAATAATAACAGCAGAGGTGTGGACTCAAGTCTCATGACTTGGACTCAAGTCATGAGACTCGAGTCAATATTTTAATCATTTCTGACTTGAATTGATAAAATCTATAAAGACTTACGACTTGACTTGGACTTGAACGCCAATGACTTGCGACTTGCATCTGTTGACTTGAGCATATTTGATATTTTAGAACAAAAGTGGCACGACGAAGTGGACAAAAATCATAAATCATTCTTCGTTCTGGGTTTGATCTTGTACGGCTAAATGCAGCAGCACTTTGTTTAGAATCAGTTTCAGTTGCACTTTCCGCTTGTTTGAGCAAATAAACGGAAGCTTTAATTCTGGAATTTATTTATCATTAAATTGAAGTTGGACAGATTACTTGTTTGTGACTTGAAAATTCAAAGTTAAGGACTTGACTTCCACATCATTGACTTTGGACTGGACTTGTACTTGACTGGAAAGACTTGTGACTTACTTGAGACTTGCAAAGCAGTGACTGTCACACCTCTGAATAATAGCCCCCTCTCTCTCTCTCACACACACACACGCGCGCGCGCACACACACACACACACACACAGGTGGATCCTGCCAGTCTCATATGCAAAAATGCAGAACACCAATTAGAAATTCACAAAATCCTTTAAAGAAATTTCCAAATAAAGTTACAACAATATTTATCAGGTCTGTGGTATTTTTAAGACATTTGGACTCTGGAACAGTACTTGTCATTTTAAATTTTTTATTAAGTTCCTCTCAAGATAAAAATCACAAGGTGCTTCACAAAAACAAAAATTGTATTAAAAATGATCAAATTGGGGAAAAAATTGTGGTTAAAATATGTGAGCTAAGGGGAAATTAATATATTAAAGTACAAATGTGAGATCTGGATCTGCAGGTATATGTTTTAGGGTGAGTCTCTTCCTTTCCATGCTGATAATAACAAGCAGGAAATTATGAAATTATTTGGAGCTGCAGAAGAAACATGCATGAATCTTACAGAATTAGGTAATCAGGGTAAACATGAAAAATCTTGAACCCAAGTAAAGAATTTTTTGTGTTTTAAATGTTAAATTCATCATTAAAATTGAGTTTTAGCCAGGTTCATTGTTTTCCTTCAAAAGTGACTTAACTGCTACGACATCCAGGGTCAATCACTTTTAAGCTTGTAACCAGGGCAGGTGTTTCAAACTCAACATTATTTTCTCACATTTTGTTTGAAGATTTCTGCTAAATGAGACATTGACAGAAGAGGAAGTGGTTTAAAGCCACAGAGACATGAGGCCCGATGGCTTTAGTCTGAGTTAATATCAGTCATCTGCCATGACCTCTGATAGGTCGGTCTCTAACGCAGCGAGTCCTGCCAGCATCTTCCACCATTAACCACAATGTTTAAGTCCTTCATGTTGAAAAGGACTTTTACAACAGAATTTTTTATTTGCAACAGAAAGAAACTCAAGCTCTAAAAACATCAACTCTCTCTGAGCTCTTTGGGGACGTGCACTAAACCAGGATTCATAAAACAAATTGGGATTCAGCAACATTTATTTCAATAATTTGCAGCCATTGCTTCCAAAATGCGATACTTCTCACTTCTTTAGTAGAAAAGGGGGATAATAAAACATAATAGCACAAAGATGCAAAAAATAAAAGGAAAATGTATAAAAAAAATAAGCCCATTTTTGAAAAAATATTATTCTTTTTAGATACTAAAGAAGACACCCTTTATAAGTAAAGTTTACCTATTTCTTAACTATTTTATGGTACAAATACTGAGATTGTTGACCTGTTATACAAATGTATATTTGAATCAAAATACTTTAAAAAAACACACCAGGTATTCATTAATGTTCTGGGATAAAAAAGAAAGATGTGCTTTAATTTGAGAACTTCTGGTTTTCATTCTGAGTTACAGCTTCTACACAAACAAAATACTACGTTTCTGCAGTAACGTTCTACCTAACAACAAAAAACGAGTTCCAGGTGGGAACATTCTTATCTCATTTTTGGTGAAACTACATGAACCACAAACACTTGTTGATCACAAACTGATAATTGAGCTCTTCTTTGTAATAAATAAGATTCTTGAACAGCATCTCAGCACGTTTGTTGATATATAACCTAAAATGTAATAAAGTATGCTGACAGTAAAAAATCCCACTGAGGCAGAAGGCTACAACCAAAACAACTCCAGAGGCCAATAACAAACGTCGCAGCCATCTTGTTGCCTTTTCAAACAGAACATGTCAAATGGCGTAGGGCGCAATTATATAAACTCAGCTTCAAACAGGATCCTCTCCATTTTCATCCTCACCTCAGCCTTTTTGTTAGGAGACAGCTTTTTAAACAGCTTCACCAAGCCCATGAAGTAAAACTCGTCACAGTCTTGAGGCTTTTCGATGTTGGTTTGAATCATTTTGTCACGTTTGGACGGAGAAGGCTGCGAGTGTGTCCTCACACTTGCCGCGGATTGTGACGCAGCCTGGGTGCAGCTTTCTACTCGGTGTTTTTCCTCAATCTCGTTATCGTCGCTTTCCTGTGTGAACAAAAAAAAATGTTATAAACAAAAGTAAATAAATAAAAACTGAACTGTTTGCGTCTGTGTGGCCTTGTGATGCACTGGCCACCTGTCCACGGTGTTCCTTCATCTCGACGATGAGCTCTGGAGTTGGACACCATTGAGGATGTGGCGGTTAAAGGTCAACTTCTCTTATATATTTAATGCATTTGCAGTGTTCTCTAGTTGGAATGAATGGCTTATAATTTGTTCTCTGTGGGAAAAAAAACCTCTTGATGTTCCTATTTGAGATTGTAGAAGTCAGCCGGAGGAAAAAGTGGCAAATCGCGGAGTCTTGTTTTCTGATATTTAGACATCTGGCCTCTGATTGGATAACAGCAACACAACTCTAGCACTCACTCCATTTGCTTTGCAACACCGATGTTTTATCTCCACAAATAACACAGGCCTGGAAAAGTTCTGCTGCGTGGTGGATTTGCTAATGCTAATGATTAGCTTACTAGTCAACATGTTCTTATTTCCTGGACGCTAAACCAACAGCAGTCTTCCCCATCAAGATGGGCGAGTCCACGAGTTTCACAGTCCATTATCTATCAGAAGTTAATGCAGGAGATGTGTAGGAGACTATTTTCATGCTCAGGAAGCATGAAAGACTCTGAGTGACTGATCATTTTCTAAAATAATTTGTGAAAAATTGTTTCTCAGTGAACTTGGTCATTAGGAAAACGGATGGATGAGCGGATGTTTATTCATTCCAAATTTCTAAATAGCATGTTTGTCTGAAACATTTAAAATAAAAGTGACCGCTTTGTGGAATCTTGAGGAATGAATGAAAATAAAAAAGCCGTTTACCATTTTACACAATGAATCCATGCTTTCACCTCCTGTCGTCAATGCCACCGGTTGTTCCTCAACCATCAACTTCTGCCTTTCCTGGCAGACGGAAAAGTGCCTGCTGAAATTTGGCTGGCTTCTTATTGGCATTAGGCAGTAAAGACAGTGGTAATGCGGCTTCTTCAAACACTCCAGTCCACATCTATGGATTGTGAACTCTGAGATGTATAGAAACAAATAATAAGTAATAGAGAGAGCAGCAAATTATTATATCTACTGACAGAAAAACCCAATTACCTCCAACAATATGGGCTCTCCTGAAATGGCTCTCCAAGTGGAACATGACCTTGGAGCGTGTTGTCGGCTTGAAAAAGGCTGGTGAACAAAAAGGACAGTGGTAGAGGCCTGGTGGGCAGCAGCTGGTGCATGTCTCCACTGGAGGAAAAGACAGACCCTTCCGGATGGTAACATGGCCCTGGGAAACAGAAAAGCAGCCAGAGCTCATAAACTGTTGATAAATAACTAAATATTTAGTTAAAGCTCATGCAAAGCACCATCTTCTGGAGAAAACCGTGCCTGCCGAGTAAACCTGAACACGCAGTTTTGTGCTAACAGCAAAAACTTTTACCAAGCAGCTGTTCGGTGTTCTGCAGGGAAAATTGTATCTATACAATCGACCTTACCATGTTTAGCATTAGCAAACCAAACATGATGCTTAAACATTTATTAATAAAGCCTATTTAGTTTTTTTTTTCTGCAGAATCACCGAGGACAAAATAAAGTCTGGACATACGTGCTGTCATAATTAGGAAGAGGCACCACATGCTTTCGAGCGCGTTTTTGGTTTGTTACTTTTACCTGCTGCTCGGTGTCCATTTTTAATCACCAAAAGTTTTCTTCTTCGTCTTATGGTGGTTAGTAAACAACGTAAGGTGCGTTGCGCCACCTTCTGGTCTGGAGTATGAATTATCTGCTTACGTAGGTGAAAATAACATTCGAGTGCTAGAATACCAAACACACTGAGCACTGGCTAACAAGTTACTTGGTTTCTACAGAAATATCTCAAAACAGTCAATAATACAAACTGTCTTTCAAACACACTATTCCTAAATGCATAGGGAATAGATTCTCTTAAGGATTCCCTTTCAGGCCATATAACAAGACTTGGCACTAGTGTACAATACATGACACAGTGTTTGAAAAGCTTTGAGAGAGTAGTTGAATCGATGCTAAAATAAAATGCCAAAAAATAAAAAGACAGGTTCATTCTCATTTTGATTAAAGCTAAAATATACTGCTGAAATAATGTTAGGCTAGATTTGTGCTTAAGATAGGGCATTATAACATAAAAAATGACCATAAGTAGAGAATATGATGATAAGCCAGTGAGCATATTAACCTTCCTGTCACTTTTTTGTAGTCCCATTTACTTCAGTACATGTAATTTTTTGTCTTAATAACATGTTTTCAATTCTCAGTGCTAGGCTTTCACGCTCAAGAGATTTGATTTGTTTCTTGCAGGTTTCATTGGAACACACGGTGGTTTCTGGATGGCTGCTGTCATGTGTAGACTCAACTTCATTCTGAGTCAATTCCTTTACAGGGGCTTCCTCTGCTTGATCAGCTGCAGGAGGCTGTAGGATGCCATCTTCACATGAGTCCTGCTGAATTAGAAGTTGAGATGAATGACTGATTGTAGCAGATGCTGACTTTGCTTGTTCTCTTCTTTGGCGTCTGCTCTTCTGTCTCCTGATGAACAAATCTAACTGCCTTCTTCTTCTCTTTTTCTCTGGGGATGACACATGTTTGAAGATGGATGGGATGTAGTCAGGAGAGAGAGGGTGATCACTCTTTTTCCCTGAAATGTATAAATAAGCATAGTTATAGGTTTAGTATTGATTTGTAGGTAGGTACCAGGTCACTTTGCACCTGAAGATAAATTAATTTTTCTGTTAACAGATGAAGTCATCATTTGTACATTTCAGCACAAATCCATAAAACTAAACAAAAACACAAATACCAGTAACATAGATTTACATGCAAGACCTTTAAATAGAGTGCTGTGCTGTTAGAATGTATAAACTGAATTCCAAGAGAAATCACTAGTCTTGATTTTTTTCTGTGAACAAAACAA